GTAGCTTTTCAGAAGTTGACACAGACATCTCAATTTCTAATCAAGAAACATCATCGGAGTACTCTTCTGATGATAATGTTCAAGTACAAGTCATTGCTGCCATGGAGTTGTTGCCTAGGCCTGGAGTGAAGAAAGATCCTGACAAAGTGGAGGTGAGCGAAGAGGAGGTGTGTCGACGACTGTCCACTATCAATTCTCTGGGAAATTTCACTTATAACATCAAGGAGTTAGGAGGACGTCACTGCGATCGAGTCAACCACGACAAGTTGAAGTTATTCCATCGAAGATCAGATTCTTTCACTCCTAGGGCGTAGTGAAATCTTGGTCCGAGGGTAAATGTAAGACCGGGTGCTACACATATGTACTAAGTATCAGAAGTGGTCAAGTGATTAAGGATGATTAGCCAAGGGATAGCTAAGTCTAGCTAGTTACGACTAAACTAGTTAGTTATAACTAAGTTTATCTAGTCATAATTAAGTTTAGCTACAATGTCTATAGTTGGTGGAATGATTAGCGGAGTTCTAGAAGAATGGAGTGAGCACTTCTATTTTGTCTTTTACAAAAGTTTTAGATTCCAAGGTATTAGATATTTGACTAAAAGCTTGGATTTGATTGGTTAGACTAAAATGTATGAAACATGATTGGCTAGATTAAGTCTAGTGTTGACTTACTGGCTGAGAATCTTGTAGAAGTTTAAAAGCTTCCAATGACATGTCGCCACCTCAACCTTGGATTCCGAGAACTTCTAGAAGTTTTAGCTAGACCAATGGCATGTTGCCACATAAAGAGTGTTAGTCAAACTTACATAGGTAAAAGTAAGTTAGAAAAAATTACCACATGTTACCATGGTAACTTCTCAAGTAGTATGAATAGAGAGGTAGAGTAGCACCTCTAAAGCAATTTTTGGAGAGTCATGTGTGAGGACTTGTTTCAGGAATGAAGTAGTGAAGTTTTTGAGTATCTTGGAGTATCGACATGTGTTTGCGTTTAAGTGAAGAGAGTGATGTGAGGAGAGTTTGTGTGTGAATTGGAGTGATACATGGAGAGTTTGTGAAAGAAGGTGTTTAGGACATGAGTGTGAGATGAATATAGACTTCTAGAACCATGATGCGCTACCGCAAAGCCATCAAAGGTAAACCTGAGTGAGAGTCAGCCCGGAGGTTGCAGAACAAAGTGTACTATGTGAGAGCCTTATCAGTAAGATAAGATCTCATGAACATTCATGGAATGTCATCAGAAACATGAAAATTAAATAAATGAATATTCATACTCATTATCTATCACTCTATTCCCTTTGTAAGCTTCCATTTTACAATAATTCGCCATTCAAAACAAAAGATTTATTTGATTTTCAATCTCTTGAAGACGTCTTCTATTTGCCTCTAATGCATGAATAGGAGTTGGTTTTGGTTGAATTTGGGAAACTTGAACTTGAGGTAAACTTCCATCTCTCCAACTTTTTTCTACTTTCTCACTCTCCAATGCGAAGATTTTATTTTTCATGGCTTGTTACTTGGTATGCCCATCTACTATAGATTTTCTCAACTCTTTCATCTCCGCCATGATTGCGTTGAGAACCTCACCCATATCAATTGATGTTCCCATGCTTTCTCACACTTACTCTAATACAAGGTGAGTATAATCACTATACGAGCTCTCAAAAAAATAGCTACAAAAGGTATAAATGACTTTATCTCAGTTCTATAGTAATCTTTTCCATAATTCATCACAAGAAAATCTCTTCACAATATCTTCTATGGATGTGATGTTCTAATCAACACATAAGTGTTGAATTGAACCGGGACGGGTGGTTCACAATTCAAATCCATGAAACTTTCAATATATAATGTATATGGTACAATCCCAAATCTCTTCATAACTAACTATTGGAAGAATCAATGACACTCTTGACTATATCACTCAATTCATAAAATGTACACCCAACAAGTCACAAGGTACATACGAAATTATTTTTCTCCATGCAACGAAGGAGAATATCGAATAGGTTAGAGATTAGCCAATGTGATACTGGATTCTTGTCAAGCTCGTCCATATCTGCAAAAACCACAATTTCTCCATTTTCATCTCTCTCTCTATATACAGATCAATGACCTCTACCAGCCTCTATACACTTTCAAAATTGCATTCCATCATCACTCACTTGCTATACCATGAGGGATGACCACACTCAATAAAAGAACAAGGTTGCTCTAATACCATTGTAACACTATGGTTTAAAGAGAAATTCACTTGAAGATTAAAACATATACTATGAAGATGTGAGATATCAACAATGGTTCTTATCTCTCTTATATTGCTCTCATCAACAAGTACAAAGAGATAAGATCTAATGCACTCATCGTGGATGGATGACGTGGCGTGTAACCTTAACAAGCACACGGATTGCTGACGTGGCGCTACCAACCAACGCACAAACTAACACACTAAATTTTTAACCTATCAAGCACACGGATCGCTCACATGGCTTTGTCAACTAACATATATACTTTTTACCTACGAAGAACGCGGATCGCTGATGTGGCAGCTATGACTAGTGCACAATAAAGTATCTATATCAACGTTTAAAGTAACATATACTTTAGTTCTAACTAACTAAAGATGGTTACAATGATGATGTGAGACACGACCGTCAAGAATGCCATTGGATAAAATAAATCATGTTAGGTCATAATAACTGTCTGATGTTCAACATGTATTTCATCAAATAATTCTCTCATGAAAATTGTGAACATAATAATTTTATATGAAAATTTATTTCCTAAAACTTGTTTACTTCCAAAATGTTATTTTGATGCATTTGGAATAAAATTTGATTTCATAGTTATCAATATAGTTTTTAAACATTGTTTATTTATAACTAGTTATTTCATAGTTATAACATAAAAAGTTAATAAATAAACAAAAATATTGCATGATATCTTTATGTAGAAAGTAAATCAAATTCTTTATATTTGTAAATTGACTTATAAAATTTATACAATAGTGCATTTGAAACTAAATTTTTAGTGAATCAAATTTTAATTGAAAATATTTCAAGAGAAAATTTAAATAATTAATACAATATATCATGTGTAGATACGTTAGTTTGGATTTGAGTCGATAGACGTTGGGACGAAGGTAACGTTGAGGTTAGGTTGACACTTGTAACATTAGGGTTTAGATACCAACAATGATTCTTCTCTCCCTTATATAGCTCTCACCAACAAGTACAAGGAGATAAGATCTAATACCCACCAACCATCCCATTCCTAGTTGATGGATGACGTGGCAGATAACCCTAACATGCACACGAATCGCTGACGTGACGCTCCCAACTAACACGCTAACTAATACACTCAATTTTTACCTACAAGTACACAGATTGCTAACGTGGCACTGTCAACTAACACATCCACTATATACATACCAATTATTGCTACACTACCAAATGCGCGAATTGCTGACGTGGCAACTATGACTAGTGCACACTAAAATATATATATCAATATTTAGAGTAACCTCTACTTTAGTTTTAACTAACTAAAGATGGTTACAACATTCCATCGAGAGTATAGTTGAGGCTAACTTAAAGAACTGTTAGTTCTTTGAGTTTGCACTTTTGCGTAGGAAGTTTCTCACTAGTTTTGATTTTATGTCTCCAAGTGAAGTGAGTTTGGCTCGACTCGTATGTGTATTTTGTGTTACCTAGTTGGCGCGTAGTATTTTCACTCGAAGAATACTGTACATATAAACCAAATACATGAGTGTGTAATTTCAGATTGGTGAAGATTTTGGAATTTTGAGTATTCAATCGACTTCAAGACTTTCGTTGGTGGAGCTATTTTTGAAATATGATATTTTTTCGGTGATGATGCCTTTTGCTTCGATGGCTTTTCAATTGCAAGACTGGTTGTTTTCTCCTTGTAAGGTGATTTTGCAAGCTTCATTACCTTTGCGGGCTTGATCTTGAATTTTGTTGTGGAACCACCTAACTACTAAAAATTCAATCATTTGATTTATTTTGCCGGAATTATTATTAGAGAGTGGCTATAGATTGATTTGGTACTCTTTAGCTCCAAGTTTGGATCTCCAAAAAATAGTTTTTTCAAGATGTTTTTTCATCTTCCTCAACAGAATCTCACGAGTTTTCTTTTCTTGATTCTTGATAATCTTTATACAAATACTTCGCTGCTCATATGTAATTAACTCGATCCTAGTTGTAATAACTGTGTGTGTGTACACTCTAGTTATTTATGTATGTGTGAGTTGGTGAGTAGAACATGTCAACTATGTATGGTGATACCGAGTCACATAATACATATTTCACTCTTTTCTCTTATTTTTGTATAATAGAATTTTCAAATATAATTTTTTTTTCTTGTTATTATGGAAAAATGATTTATTTAATTCGTTACGTAATGAGTTTATTCAACAAATTTATAAAATTATATTACATAATATATATGAATTTATATAAAAAAATTTCAATGTGAAATTGAAAAAATTATAATAAATGATTATGCAAGAATGAAATTTTTTATGAAATATCTGGTGCATAAAGTAATGAGTTATAATTTATGTAGAAGTATTAAAGATGAATAGATTTAAAACACTAGAATAAAATCTGTTTGAAATTTTTTATTAAGCACATGCATTTGAAAGTACAATTTTTAACCAAAGTTATAAAATGAAGAAATGACATACACAACTTAAATGATACAAAATAGACCTGTAGAAGTTTATGGAATTTTTTATTGACCTTCACTGTGAAGTGGGGGTTAAGTGGAGTCCGAGAACATCTCTTTGGTGAGTAATGTACAAGGAAGGGTAGGGGAAATAAGACTCATTACCGGGCGCGAATGGGGAGGAGAGGCCACCGATTACTGGCTGGTCCGGAGCCAGCGGAGTTCACAGAAAGCGGACACGAGTGCAGGCAGCGGCAGACGAGGCGAGGAAGAGGAGGAGGAAGGAGCAGACAAGTCACAACCGAAGAGTTATCTGCTTTCCTATCCATCCACGAGCCTACGACCATCGTCGTCATCTGAGGGCGTCTCGGAAGCAGAGATGCAACGAAATGACTGATGCCACAGCTCCCGTTTGGCTGCCGTCGTCTGCTGCCAACTGATTGTCTCTGCTCTCGGTGAGCATTCTCCTCGGCTCAGGCTTGAGCCTCAATTTTTCTGGTGAGGCGAGGCCAGGTCCCAGACATTTCCCGCCAGTCTGGAGCTGAGGAGCAGGCTTGGAAGCAAGTAGCAACGAGCTCCGTGATTCTAGACTCGAGGCAGAGAAAGAAGTGGAGACTTGTCAGAGTGCATCAAATTGACAGTTTGCGACTCGGGAGCTCGAGGGGACGATTGCGATTATGGCTTGTGTCAGCCTGCATTGTGCTATGGCGTCTCTGTCTATGGCATCGTCGTCTGCGGTGCGCACGCAGTCGTCGTCGTCCTCTTCTGCCTCTTCGGGCCCCGAATTCCGACGTGCTTCGCTTCCACTTAAGTGTAACTTTCGTGGCGAAGACTTATGCCCGTCTTTGCGTGCCGTCAGTGGGCACATCCACATCCGTGAGCTGAAGGTGTGATTCGAGCATGTCCGTGTCGAGGAGGTTCTGAATGTCGTCTTCATTTCCTCGTTACTGGTCGATGACGGATTCAACGGCCAGTATTCTCTAATTTGGTCCATTTGCGTGTCTGGAAGCTCAGCAGTAATGAACTCACTCTATTTTTCCACGTCATGACTTCGCAATATCGCAGAGCAATGCAGTTTCTTCGACCACTGCCACGCCGGTCAGAATGGCACAGAGTGCCCAAGAAGTTCAGACTGCCACCCAGATCTCAAAGGTTCAAAACATGACTTCTGTCTTTCTCCTCCTCCACAATTCTCTCCGTGCTTGGTTGCTGATCCCGTAAATACCATTGAATTTCTAGTAGCTGGAGGAATGATTGACACTCGCATCGTATTCTGTTGTTCAGCCAACCAAGATGATCGTCTCCATTACCGGTGCCACTGGCTTTGTGGGGAGCAGGCTCGTTAAGAAGTTGGTCGAAGGTAAGCATAAGATTAATGCATCCACTCAGCTCATGCGAGTGCTTATGTTAGTCAAAGGCGAGTCGAAGATGTTCTACAATTGACGCCTGGGGGTGACCTTTTACTTACAACACAACACAATAGAATACACTGATGCATTGCACATGGTGTAGTCTTGGTTGTGTTCTCACGGCCTTAGGCACCTATGTCCCATTACCTGTGGTGAATTGCCAGCTATCTCGCGATGAAATCCACAGCTCTCGTTTACATGTCCTGCCTAATTCGGTCAATTGTGGTCGACTGATTGTACAGTTTCTGCTTCGCAGATGGCCACACCGTTCGGGTCCTTACACGTTCCGCATCTAAGGCGCGAGCTATTTTCCCTGGTAAGATTGCCATTTTCACATCAATGGCAAAACGGAGTGTGTGCTTGATTGTTCGTCTTTCTCTACTGCGAGAGCTGTTCGTGAGTAATTTACTATTTTTGTGGTGATTCCCAGATGGTTTTAGCAGTGTACACATCATCTAACCACTGTATTACAGCCACCAATGTTGAACAAGGGTGAAATCGTATATATGAGTTGCGCATTTGATAAGGAGATGAAGGATTTTGTTCTTCAACTTTCCATGTGCCCTGGCACTTACTGGGCGATTTTTTGGTCTGACAGAACGTACATTCAAGAACGTTGAGATCGCAGAACAGGCCGATTGGGCCAGTTGTATAGCGGGATCCACGGGTGTTGTAAACTTGGCAGGGACTCCTATCAGCGTTCGTTGGACCCCCGAGGTCTGTGCTTTAGTCTATAATCATCATGGTTGTCGAAGTTTTTCATTATTCTTTTTGGTTGAAGCTGTCAAGTCCCGCCCGCCTGGATGTACGCTGTTCAGTACATAACTCGGTACAAATGAGAGCAGTTATCTCTTTGCTCTAAAGAAACTGATAATGAATTTTGAAGAGTGAACTTGATAGTTTCGAACCTTCCTCTGTCACGCAGGTAAAGAAGGACATCATGGACAGTAGGGTGTCAGTCACCTCTAAGGTAAGGGCAGTTCACTTCTCAGCTGTCTTCCATTCTTTAGCTAGTTGGGATTCCTACACTACCAACCATGTTCTTTCGATCCCTGAATCTCTCTTCAGATCGTGTGTTGTAAGACAACAATAAACTAGCTTCATCTTGATCTGCATCTTCTATGTCCATTTGACACGAAACAAAATCTCAATGTTAATTGTTGCAATCATACATTGCATATTTTTATATCACATAGGATCATTCATACAACAATCTAAATGTCGTGATAATTCTTACTTCTCATATGAAAAATAGTTTTGACTAAATCTTTTCTGTGAACGAGTAGAAGAAATAATTGCGAATAGTCGAGTTGTTGAAACGATATGCATACCGCATATTTATGTGATATTTTTCATAATATTTTTCCATGACACAATATAAATCAGATTGTTCATGATTTAGTTGTTGGAGCAACTTGCATATTCAAAGAAACTTCTGGTACCCATAATCCTCACAAGCCGAAGGTCAAACAGTAACATTAACAATGTGCAGAATCTCCATCTATGCTTTAACACCTAAACACTTGAATCTGTTTGTCCACTACGGTGGGCTATGTTAGTAGCGACCGACGCTTGACCTGAAATTTTTGCCTCATCTCGCAGGTCGTGGAGGCCATAAATGCAGCCCCTGAAGATCAGCGGCCTTCAGTATTTATCAGCGCCACGGCTGTCGGATTTTATGGTAGTAAGTCATCCCGGTCAGATGTAGTCGTCGTAGACGCATGTAGTTTGCTTGTGCATTCGACGTTGTCAAGAATTTTTCCGCCAAGAATTTTACAGTAGCTCAGATTGTGAGCTAAGTGTCCACATAACGCTCAGAGCCATCGAACATGTGATTTGTCCATTGATTCTCCTTCGCATTTTGTATGCAGGCACTAGCGAAGTATCTGCATTCGATGAAACAAGTCCCGCGGGCAAAGACTATTTGGCAGAGGTTAGCGTCGAATCTTGCTATGTCCATGTTATTTCCGTAGAGGAGCCGCGATGAAGAAAATGATTCTGTTGGTCTTTGAGCTGATGGAGCCTGTAGGGAAAGGTCACATGCTATCTGATTGCAAGGATGTCTTCAATATCAGCGAAGTCTGTAACGGTAGTTCACCTTCAGTTCTGGTTTTGACTCATCTCGCTATCAGGTCTGCCAAGAATGGGAAGCAAAGGCTCAAGCACTGACCGATGGTGTACGGCTTGTTCGCCTGAGAATAGGCATTGTCCTGGACAAAGATGGTGGAGCTCTAGGTACTTCCCAATGATTCAGTGGTGTTACGAACTTTCGTTTGCGGGAGATTTTTCAAAGCACACACTTGTGTCCTTCGTTCAGCTTCTCCGAATATGTTTTATCTCATGAACTTTGGTCTTTGTGCACTCAATGTCCGTGTCTCCATGTTCGCAGCCCAGATGGTTCCTCTTTTCAAGATCTTTGCTGGCGGTCCCATCGGCTCCGGTAAACAGTGGTACGTTTGCAATTCCTTATTTGCCCTCAGAAGTCTTGCTGATAGCGTTAGCATGACCACAACGAGTCTTTTCTAAGTCGGAGCCTGGCTTTGGAGCCTTTGAAATGGTCCTTTTTTTCCCGGGGATGAGCTGACACTGAAGTCTGTCTGCCATTTTGCAACGATGCCCAGGTTTTCATGGGTGCACCGTGACGACCTGGTTGCTTTGATCGTGGAAGCATTGAACAACCCCGAGTATGAAGGTATCTATCGCCTCTCTCTGTGTGTCACACATATACACACGCACGTGAGCTCGTGGTGCCCGGCTCTAGCAAGCTCGTAAGACGTGCGGTAACTAATGCAGGCTGGTTGGTTGGCAGGTGTTATCAACGGGACGGCACCTAATCCTGTAAGGTTCACAGAGCTGTGTGATAGAATCGGAGCTGTGCTCGGACGACCGTCGTGGCTTCCTGTCCCAGACTTTGCTCTTAAAGCAGTTCTCGGAGAAGGTGCTTTGGTGGTACGTCATTTCTCCCTTGCTCTTCATTCTTGAGGTAGCATCACATGCTGTTCTATCGATGTATCGCAGCCTCTAGAGACTCTCAGTCATCTGGACTCGCCTTTTGAGCTTTTGTTGCAATGGTGTGCAGGTACTGGAAGGCCAAAGAGTACTTCCGAAGCGCGCTCAGGAGCTGGGATTCAGATTCAAGTATCAGTACGTCACAGATGCTCTGAGAGCGATTTTGACTTGATCGTAGTTGGTGTAGTGTATGGAGTCGATCCATCACCGCCACTCTACGGTAGAAGGTTCGAAATTGGACCATTTTTGAAGGAGGTATAGCAGTTTCTCCGGAACTTGTAAATCATTGTAACACAAGCAAGAAGCGACGAAGGGCAGCAAGTAATGTCCAATCCAACCAACTGATCACAGTAATGGGCTTCTCTCACCGCGCAAGCCCTGCGGTATTATTCAAGTATACTGTGGTATATCCGAACATTACGTGTATCATCTGCATAGGAGGAGAGTGGAGAATAATCCATCCATCCATTCATGGGGACTGCACCGAAATACTTGGATTCGGAACGAGCAGGAAGACCAAAGAATGTAGGCTTAGTTCAAGAACAGAGCAGTTCAGTCGCTTTGTGGATTCTTACCAGATCATGGAAGGTTTCATCCATGATCTCAATCAGTGTAATCTATATGCTCTTCTGCGAGCAATTTTTTCCAGCCAATCTGTTGTGAACGCGGGGGCCTTACTTGTCCATGTTTTGGCATCATCGATTGTACGACACTTTACCCATGCTGTCGGCAGTTATTAAGAGCTGTAGATCATCAAACCAAGCCTGATTTCGCACGCAGTCCTACACACGTTCCTGATTAACGTTCCTGATTAGCGTCCATTGCCAAGAGATGGAGATTAGCTGAGTAGTTCTTTTCTCTCTGAGACCACTCTTTCCTCAGATACTACTATACGGAAGGCACGTCAACACGTAAACCGGCTGTGATACGAGGGTGAAACATGGCCGTAGGCGTTAGGCAGTCGTTCTTATAAGAGTCACCCTCGCCACCTTCTGTTGTGCGCTGTACTTCGCCTACGAAGATCACAAAAGAGCAAATTCCTCGTTGTTAGGATCGTCAGTAGGCCAAAGAAGGCGCTAAGAGAGAGTCGCTTGAGAATCGTATCCTCAAAGCGAAAAATAGGTCACCTACTAATGCAGTAAGTGTGTGGAAATCGCACACCGTATTAACTGCGGCACCGTATCTTACCTTTCAGCCGGAAGCAGTATCTGGAGAGCAATCTCTCAAGCTCAGTCTCATTCCTCTCTCTGAATCTCTGAAACTGAAATCAGTGTATTCGTGAAATATCTCGAATTTGTCAGATAAATACCGAAAAAACCATCGCAAATTACACAAATTGTCAAGTGACACTGGAAGCCTGATGGAGCATGAATTCCAAATCTGTTTCGCTAGAACCGTACAATAACACAGTTCAGTGGTATACTTGCGTGTAATATGTAGACTTTGAAGTCTCGGGGCAAAACTGTGCGTGTGAATGCAACACAGAATGTTGGACTTTGAGCCTCTCACATAATAATCAGGAAGGATGAAGAGGTGAAATCAAAGAGTGCAAGTCACGTTTCACAATTCGTGGGCACACTGGTGAGAATGCAAACGGTTACGATCTGTCTGCAAGCGTGTTCAACCGATTCCATCAAGATCTGTCATTGCACAAGTACACGACCAAACCTACTCGGCCAGATTGATTTGGCTCAACCGTTACCCTTAACGACTTCGTGCGTACAGAGCCGAAATCCTGGCAGGGGACGAAAAATGAGACCACGATTGTCGGTATGAATTCGGTAAAATATGACCCGGATGGAATGTGTGGATATGTGTTCTCACACCGACTCTCGCTGTCAGCTTCTCGATTTCTGCCGGGCGATATGCTCGAAAGGTGAAATCACCAGAAAGGAACGTGCCGAGGCACTGGGCACAGAGCGATCACATGAGCGAGCATGGATGCGAGACGGATGCCCCAGATACTGGCACACATAACTCAAGGCGCCACATGCACCATTCACGACACGGTCTGGGTGCCGTGCAGCGCGAAATTCGTGCTGCTGGGCTCGACGTCGCGCAACCAGGGAGCGTTCCAGATCTACGAACTGGAGAACACGGAGATCAAGAAGCTCAAGGACGTGGTCAAGGCCGACAGCTTCAAGTGCGGAACATTCGGAGCCAGCAGCGTCGAGCATCGGTGCCTGGCCACGGGTGACTACAAGGGCAAGCTGTGCACTTGGGACCTGGAAGACCTAAGCTTGCCCGTTTTCCATACCAAAGCGCACGAGTCGATCATCAACGCCATCGATGCCATCGGCGGGCTCGGGGTTGGCAATGGCGCTCCGGAAATTGTGACCGGAGGACGCGACGGGAAGGTGCTGGTGTGGGACCCGAGGCAGAAGGACGTCCCCGCCGCCTCATTCGAGCCCGCGAGTGGTGGCGCGAGGGACTGCTGGGCTGTGGGCTTCGGGAACTCGTACAACGACGAAGAGAGGTGCATTTTGGCGGGGTATGACAATGGGGATTTGAAGCTTTTCGATCTGCGGTTGAATAAAATCCGATGGGAGACCACATTGCCGAACGGCGTATGCGGGGTCGAGTTCGATCGCAAGGACATCAAAGCCAACAAATGTGTGGCCGTGACGTTGGAATCCAAGTTCCACGTTTTCGATCTTCGGACTCAGCATCCCGACAAGGGCTTCGCGATGATGACGGAGACTCTGAAACACGGAACCACCGTCTGGGGAGTGAGACACCTTCCCCAGAATCGGGAGATTTTCATGACGCTTGGTGGCGATGGCTCGCTGTCGCTTTTTAAGTACTCGTATCCGTCGCAGCGCTGGGTCAAGGACGGCAGGGATCTCAAGTGCGGTGTGGCGGGAACCGTCGAGCTCCTGTCCAACAAATCATTCGCCACGCAGCCCATATCTTGCTTCAACTGGAACAAGGACAAAGAAGGCCTCGCCGTCTGCGGCTCGTTCGATCAAAACTTTCGAGTCATGGTCGTCACGAAACTTGATAAGTTCTAGGATCGACCGTCCGCCTTGTGATGCGTCGATTCTCATGAATACTCCTGCACCCCTGCTGGCAAAGTGCATCATCCGTCGTCATAAGAGCAAACTTCGAGAATCAAAGTCCACCAAGTGCATTGCATTGCCAAGGCGCTCAAAGGGCTGCATTTTAATGCAGTGACTCCTAGCTCCTTCCGCCCTGTCGATTGAAGCAAAGTTGAGTACCGTCATGTCGGGGTCACGTAGGAGAACTCCACCAAGCAAGAATGTCTGTGTACGACCTCGTGTAACGTCGAAGAAGAGAAGAGTAGTGCCTTCTCTTGCATGTCTTCGCGTGCCTCAATCTCCACGGCACAGGTGACTTTGCACAAACTTTTCCCGTGAACGCGAGGAGAGTTTCGCAATCAGCGACCTTCATGTTCAATGTTCACGATCGACGAGATTCGGAGGACGGGTCGAGATTGCTCCGCAAGGCAGACGAGAAACATCGGTGAGGAAAGTCGCTCAATAGAGTACACAGCAAAATTAATAGAGGAACAGGTTGAAGGAAACTCACTGTATTGACTCGCCTCGGTTTTGTAACAATAGAAAATAATATTTCTACCAATAATAAGAGTTCATGCTCTAGGGGAAGACTCGTATGGGACTACGACCACCTCCACTTGAAAACTATGCTAACACCGTTTTGGAAGGAGAAGCAGGAATAACTGATAGTTTTGTGTAATATGTTACTTTTATGAGGACAACCCTGGATGTAGAGCATGCATATGAAGAGGATATCATCAGTTTAGTACTCTCTTCTGTAAACAATTTTGAAACCGCTTTGAAAAGTAATGAGATTATCATTCATTTTAGTGTATATTATTGCTTAATATAGACCGTTGCATTCTACAATTGAGCCGTTAACTTACATTGGAGGAAGTACTTTCACATTCTGGTCAGATATCGATATTGAAACCTTTACTAACTTTTACTATCTCTATTGAGGAAAAGAGCCGCAAAGATTGATGTCAGGAAAATTTCTCAACATTATCCGTTGTTGATTTGAATGTGGTCACATTTCGACAAAATTCTACTAAGACTGTATTCAGGAGACAATAATTTGCGAAGGTCGCGAAGGCAACTGTTGGACACGTATGCAATGTGGGCTTCCGGCGCCTAGATTGATTGATATTAAGGGGATGCTATACAGTATATGTAAAGTTTTAATGAATAAATGATAAATTTTGAGAACTGTAGCAACAAACGATCAGAAGACCCCAACCCTTTTTACAAGGTATAGAACACATACGGAGTACTTTGACCTTAGACGCAAGGAGGTGTCCATGAACCCGTGTTTTAACATACATGCAGTCTTCAGTTCTTCGCGGTAGGACATACGCTTCAAATTTTATGACTGTAAAGAAAAATTTGGACGAGAAATGAGATTATTCTCAAGTAGTTCTGACGTGGGAACAGTAGTTGAGTACGGATCAGAGCAGCACAACAATACTTTCTATGAGTATGAAAAAAATGACTCCTCAGTGAAGCTTTCTCAGGGATACCAGTTAACAAAATCTGTTGAGATAGCAAGCACCATGCCTCGGTAGAGTGTTAATTTGGAAACAATGTATCCAGTGAATTGAGCGCTCATCTATGAATAAACGGGGAAGACGAGGGGATAGTTACAACCAAAGCGTGGTGGTAGTCAACCACAAGTTCAAAGACATCACATTTTAGGCCTACCCACAGCACAAACAGCCAACAACTTAGGCCTACCCACAGCACAAACAGCCAACAACGTCATGCTTTCCCGTTGCTGGCCTCCCGTGGATAGTGGACTTGAAGTTCATGAGACTCATTCCACCATCCAGAAACTGAAGAGAAGTTGCCTGTCTTAACGGCTAGAATTAAGAAAAACGAAATATAACAGAACAAGCAGCTGAATAAGTCCGAGATCAGGGGCATTGACATTGAGCCGCATACAAGCATACAAATAGATTCAATTGATGTCCGATGGCAGCTGTTTGTCGCTCTTTATCCACATTTGGTGCGGGGGACGGCAATGCTGCACCCCTTCAACACATCTCGGCTATGATACCAGGGATCGACAAATAAACATTTCATTTGCAGATATTTTCGTAACTAGGATCCCACTCCGAAGTTGCAACACTCAATAACCTACGGTCCTCAAGAAAGGACCACTTTTCAAAGCCAGTGTGTGTGTAAGGAATGAAAACAGTGGCTGGTCATACTTCCCCTACAGAACACTTCCCCGTACAATCTTTCCATCCACGGGTCGAAAGTTATGCACGTAAAGCGACTCCACACTAGTTTCAGTTGCACCTGGTTCGCCAGGAGCTGCATAATGTCCTTCGTAAGGTCTATGTATCCTTGACTACCTGCAGAGTTCGCACACAATATGTTATGGCCTTATCTGGGAACACGCAATGTCTGCACGTAAAACCTTGTCACTGTGACCCTCAACACATATTCTCTAATGTAACTGTCAGTCCGTCGGTAGTGTATCACAGACAGACTTTTACATGGTTTCCAATGGTCACAAACTATATCTAAAAATGCATCGGTAGCAACGTGGAGAAGTCTGTATGGAGTCAAAATTCTGAAAGTCTTTTTACCCCGAGTAAACTTTGTCTCTCATCTCCTCCACTTTCTCATTGAGCTTTTTCATGTATTTGATAACGAGATGTCCAGATAGTCAGGAGCCTCATTACAATCTTAGGAGGATTATGTTCATATATGGGTGGATGGACAAAGTAAGGTTATAAGGACAAGATGAATGAATAAAGTTTTGTAATCTCGAGAGACAATTGAATGAATGTTCGACTTGACCCGCTCTTCCTTTCTTCACCACCTTTGAACGATATAAACCCAACGGGGAACGTGGATAACCTAACCGATCACACAGGGAGCGTGTTCTAGTTTTGGGCATCCGCAACTACTTTCAGGGTGAAGAAGCTGTAGTATTCTTCTAAATGTATTTTCCTCACTCCACTAGCTCACCCACGAACACTTTTCTTCTACCCAACGGTGTGCTCATCCATCGCAAGCATTCACTGCGGAAGAGACCCGCCAGCATGAAAGCTCATGTTTGCAGAAAAACGTCGACATCTTAAACCTCTTATGGCCTGCAGAAGATTATGAGGCCATAAGAGTCAGGAAAACTCCAAAAACCTTGTAAATGTGCACTTACTTGGAGGTTGAGCGGCAGTCGTCATGCCAGCAGGCTAAGCTTCCATCACCGCGCGGAGAAATTTGCAACCAGATGCGACAATATGTAATCCATGCCGCAGAGCTTCTGATCTCAACCCGAATATTTTCCGCGAAAGTATACCTGAAGTATATACATTGTTAATTTGTTCAACGCTCACATGCCATAGCATTTCCTTCTGACATTTCCTGTGTAGTTCTCGATAAGGATAGAGATATCATCCGCGCGACTACACCAGAATACCTGAAATCACCTCAACTGCAAGAATAATTCTCACCAAATTCTCAAACTACAGCTCAGACATGCTAAGATTTCTTGCTGTAAAGAAGCCTGTAAACACGGTCCCAATTACTCCGACCTTCGACCTCAGCAACAGCCTGGGAAGCCTGTTCCAGTTTCTCCAGACCTCGACCGAGCCTGGCAACAGCAGGCGCGCTAGGGGCAATACTGATCGCATGTTCCAGGCCCTCTCCATAGCACCAAACTCCAGCTGCAGTGGTCAGAGTACCCGCGAGCATGAGCCAAGGACGAGGTCCAACATTTTTGGCTTGTCTATTCTTCATGAGGCTGTAGAAAGCTGTTCTTATGGCCTGTAAACTAGCCCTCTCGGCCGCAGCAACCATGCTATGAGCAGCCATTCGCGCTTTCTCTGCAGTTGCAGCAGATTTGAGTGCCACAGCTTTCACCGTGGACGAGGGAACGAATGCCATGTTCCCAGATCCCACAGCCTTGAAAGCAGGCAGGACTACGTTAGAAGCTGGAGTGATTGCCTTGGTCAAAGAAATGATCGCACTTCGTTTGACTTGCATGAAGACGATCTTCAATACTGAAGGAACTTTGAAAGTCAAAACTTTGGCAATTGTTGATATAGATGGCAGAGAGACCAGCCCCACGGCAGCAGCAGCCCCGGCGCTCACAACAACCGCAGCTTTGGTCTCTGGTTTCTCCATAACCATGCTTTTGAACAATCCGATGTCTTCTTCCGAATCGCCAGAGCCCATAGGTACGAAACAATACTCGGCATAAGCTGCTACTTCTGCTGGTACCGGCGTATTCCAATGCTTCCAAATGCCGGGAACATTGCTGGCATCGACAATGGCGACCACACTTTTGCATTTCTCACCCTGATGCTTTAGAGCTGTCGCCAGCAACGCCTGACATTTCTCTTCGTAAGGAAGCAGAGCAAAGTCTTTGGACTCACTGGTCCCTCTCGATCGCTGAGTTAGGGAATTCCAAGACAATCTCACCGACTCCACCGCTACACGAAAGGCACGAGACCCAGCCAAATCTTCGTGATTCACATCCTCTCCATTATCGACGGATTTCAACAAGTTCCTCGAATAACTCAAAGCCTGGTTGACGAACGGAGTCTCGTTGAACAGATTATGAAGGTCGACGAAGAGTGGGAAAAAAGGGACCGCGAAGGGAGGGCAGTCAGCTTCCACTTCATCATCTTCCGACGACTTCTTCACCGAGGGAGCAGAATCCTGATCCCTATCCGCCACTGACGCTAACGCTAACGCAGGCTGGGTTCTCGAGAGAGTCGAGGCGTACGAGGGAGCGACAGCTCGCAATTCCTGCGGATACGATGCTCGAAGAGACCTCGTGACGACCCTTTGCGATGCACTGGTGAGGTTTTCGGAATTGCAGTCTCCTAAAAATTCCGACAAAGCATTCAAGACTCTATCCAACGCACTGGAAACCGCGGAATCCGACGACGGATCGGCCCCTGCTTCGCTGGTCGGCCCGGAATCCTCCGAATCCTCTTTCAAAAATGAGTCGACGGCCGTAGCCGGGAAGCGCAGGTACTCGAAATTCGCTCCGGCTTCTTGCGCAGCCTTTTTGGCAGCGATGACGTTGCCATAAAACGTGGTGCCGAAAACGCTGATCAGTAACCTGAGTCCCGCGCGGCTCTCGTACACGCTGGCTTTGCTCGATTCCAGAAAGGTCTGCTTCAGAACATCGAACACCGTCGTCGGCACGTGCAGAGACTCCTCGCGGCCTCCGTCGAGCGAATTCTCTTCGTCCCCGATGTCCGCAATGTACTTATCGTCCACGAAGGCGACGACCGAGCTGGGCCGGACGGCGGCCACCAGATCACGAATGTCGGCCACGGATCGCTCGGACAATTTCTCCACGGACAGCAAGTAGACCACGCTGGAAGGATTGCGCGGATCCGTCAAAGCCAGCACGAAATGGGACGTGAAGCCCGGCAACGACAGCGACGACACGATCTTCCGCGACGCTAGCACATCGTCGGGAGTGAAAGGATGTCGCAATTTCGTCCACACCCACGGCGCCATGCCATCTAAACGCTGCCGCTTCGCCCTCACGATCCTCACTCGAATCGGCCGAACCAAGCTCACCAAGACCGAGTGCGCGCCGGGCGCATCGTCGAGGAGCCGATCGACCAGCCAGCAATCAATCAGACGATCACCGTATCGGTCTGCGGGATGCGATCGAACTCTCCCTCTCCATCGTCTCGTCCCGTCGTCGTCGTGACTCTCGACTGATCACACTGACAGGGGCAGGGGTACTTCGGGGCGTTTTCTCGAGGGCCCTCGAGATCGGTCGTGTAAGAGGAGGAGGAGGAGGCCTCACTCCACTGGACTCTGGACTCCGGAACACGCCGGGCCGCGGAGGTCGTCGAAACTTAGAGGGATGGGAGTAGAGTTGGAGGCACAACAAAATTTCTCGGGGCATGCCCATGCCCCCCTTTCAAGATCAAAAGGCATGCCCGTATAAAAATACGTACATTTTACAGTATTATAAAATATACTTCTATGTATAGATAAAGTACTAAGTAGATGTTTGAAACCTTAAAACGCAGAAAAGACTAGAGCAGAATCTCCAAGTGAAAAGAGTTTTATTTCCTAATTTATCCAATAGTCTATTTCTCTATTATAAACATCTGTAACTCTAGAATATATGTATAAAAATTTTAATACGTAATGCATGTATGTATAATTTTTTTATACATACAGGCATGCCTCGTATGGAAAATGCAAATGAGGCATGCCCGTGGGCATGCCCCCGCCCCGGGTCATGCCCTTGGAGGTTGTGCCTCCAACTCTAGATGGGAGGGGAGTCCAGACGACCGATTTGACCGCTGGTTTTGGTGGTTGTCTGGCAGATGCCACCGTTCCGCAGTCCGCTGCCGGAGACTCCGAGCAGAGGTGCGAGCGGGGACCATAGTTCGTGAAATCGACGGAATAGGTTAGACCATCGATCGCTACCAGACGACTCGCGTTCCTTCCGTGACGACGAAGGAAATGTGCATCCCTTTTATAGCATCTGGGTTTCCAGTTTGAGGACGTTGACATTTTCGTTCATTCCTGCCAATGCGATTCATTTCTGACCGAGCTTATTCCATCGTCTGGCCCACCTTCATTCTTTAGGCCAAGGATGGTTTGTGGATCAGTCGTTGTCTCGGGATTTTTCATTTTAATATCGGTGGCTTTTGTGTGCCTCCTTTACTTTTAGCAGTACGGGTAGGGAAGAGTATTTTTTTGAAGTACATGTAATTTATATATTTTATAATAGGTCTATCATGAATAAATGTGTTTTTCTGGTTTCGATTTGGGTACATTGGTATCCAAATAGAACAATATTGACAACTGTAATAAAGATAATTGCTTCTATATTTTTTTAGAATGTAAAATAAACGATTTTTAATTCTTTTTACTGGAAATCTACTTTTCGTATAGATATTGAATATGAAGTTATAAACTTTTTTATTAAATTTTTTTAATCATAATAATATATGTAATGCTTGTAGTGAAAATACGATTGTGTATGTGGGAATACATACTGCATTGCCACTTGTCATTTATACTTTATTGAAATTCATGAACTTTAACAATGCGGATTAACCATTAGTAATGTGCTCTGTATAAGATATTTGCCAATCGTTAGTCGTTGGTTCAAAAACATATATAGATTCTAAGATTCTACATTGGTGATTTCGAGATTCTCTTGGTCTTATATTAACGTGTAACATCATTTTTTTTCTTTCTTATAACTCATCTCAAATACTTCTGAATTTATAACCCCCTTAAACAGCAAATGAACCCTACTGGAGAGAACTTTCATGTCTGATATTCATTCATAATGCACATTCTTGTGTTCGGCTAGAAGTATATGTTCAAGGATTCACCTAGTTTCTGAATTCATCTATGGTCAATGAAGATTTAGAGCTTTTGAAATATAATGAGCTATTATGTATCTTCATGTTACGTTTTTGTCCATTCTTACCGCAAATCTCCAAGCTCATCTTCAAGGAGTTTCCTACTATGATTTTGGAGCAATTAAACCAAATGAGAACTTTCATTATCTGAAATAGTTGTTCTAATTGGTTACATCAACTAGGAAAAGTGAGATTACAGTGTTGGTAAATGATAGTCCGTTTACGATGATGAAGATGAACTTTGGGGTCCTTTAATTGACTACTATTAGGGATTCGTATCATACTTTGTTAGTCGTCTCATTTTGTATTAAAATGTATCTCACTTTTGTCATATAAACTCTCCATACAGTTTTGAAGTTGTTACACTCGGAGATTGCTACGTGATTTATTTAGGATTCAAGGCACATTTTAGGTATCATTCAGTTCAAGTTGTCTTGCAAGTGAATTTTGAGAATCATCTTAGTAATCTTTCACATTTTTACATCATTAAAGATACTATTTAGTCAGATAACTTTTTTATATAAGATCTGTTACTTTACTAACAATCTTTGAAATTTCAACCTTTAGTATTTTTTATCAACATGAATTGCCATATAAGCAAGTTCTTGTTTACAATCTATTGTTGATATTTGACATGTGGAATTGTTTAGGGTTTTTATTATTACTACATAATAGAGTTCTATGTCTATTGTTCCGGCTATGCGAGATTGTGATTTCTTAATTGGTAAAACGTAAATTTTTGGATCCATAATTTAGATGTTGCATCAAGATGTCTAGAGATAGTTCTTATCAAGAATGTGATGTTTATATATAATCATCATTCATCAGTGCAATTTTGATGTTTGATAAATGTTATCATAGTATTGCTGTTTGACTAAATGTTGCGGACGCAAACTCACACAAGAATCGTAATGGCATTCAAAGCTTCAAAACTAGAAGTAGTAACATATGAAACGTTCAAAATAGAAATACTAACACCCAAAGTGAAAATATATGATGTAATATTGATACTAGAAGAATATATACGACTGGTGTTAACGAGAATGAAATACAATGCATACAACTAGCTAGATTGCTACTAAAAAACTCTAAAGTTGAAAGTTAACATTGACTCTGAAGTTGGAAAAAGTTTGGAATGGGATCTGCACAGCTAGTGCTACTGTCCCTTCCTTAACACTCAACTACATACTCTACATAATGAGTTTATAATTTACATTTATCACACTTGCTACTTTTTGATGAAAATATTACAATATATTCATAGTAATTTTCTTCAAATCATTTATCTTTGAATCTGGATAAGCAAATCATTTCATTGAGAATCGTTTTTATTGATTGGGTAACACTAGGTAGTAATGTTTGATAAAATTTGTGATAGCTAATTTTAACTTTAACTCTAACTCTAACTTTGCTAGATAGCTTGACATACTTGCACCCAGTCAATTTTTTTCGGTGCAGATAAAGCCAGTCTTCATATGTATGCAAGTTACAACGAGGAGTTATTTTCAATATAATAGCTTTCATTGTTTTCCTCTTTACACGTTTATCAAACTACAAGAGTCATGACATGCATTACAATTTTTTTTAGTGAAATAATCCATCACTCATATTACTAGAATCATTCTTTGCTGTTGCTTAAAGAGAGTTGCAATATCATAGATCTATGTCCAAATATGTATCTACACTTTTTGATTCTCGGATGAATTTTTTCAGGATGATGAGATTTCACTTTGGCCTAATAACACATGAATATAATTACAATTTTTATTTTATTTTAATTTTGATTTTAAATATTAATTTTTTAATTGAAGAGAATTTATTATTTCTCGTAAATATACATTAAGTAAAGAATAATATCGAAAATTATATCCTTTAAATATATTCACATGTCTATAATATTCCTTCACAACATGGGTTTTATAAACTTGATCACTGATTTACATGTGTAGATCATCTGATACTCAGATAAAATATACTCTTTGGTTTAAAAGCAAACCATCTGTGTGAAAAAGCTCACATAAATAATTTCCTGAAAATTTCGGATGTGTGAAATTATCCACAATTTTGTGTGTAATAGGTTTACTAGCGAGGAATAAATATATGGTGTCTGGCATGTGCATATTCTGGCAAGTCAATTCTACACAAATGAGAGTTATTTCATCATATGTTTCTTCTTTTCTTCACTGGACAGGTACTTTCTTGAAATATCAATTCATGACAAGAGAATCTCCAATACACCCTCCAGATATATAAAATATCTGGAGCAAGTTTCAACTCCAAGGTCTCAGCTGTGCTGTAATACAAAGAAATCATGTCAAAGTTATGCAGGGTCTGTTTGTAAACAGTATAAATACAAGTCTGTATCCTAAAGGTCGAAGGGGAAAAATTTCCACTCAAGGCTTCGAAGCAAGGCAAGTAAAAAGACGAACGAAGTGATCGTGCGACTCTTTCATCCAACTACAAGCCTTTGGCCTCATTCTACTTCTAGACCAACAACTCTCAGAAGAAAATCCTCTTCCCTAAGAAACACGAATCTACTCACTCCCTCACATCTCCATATAGATATATGCGACACCAATGACAGATTTCAAGATATATCTCCTCAGTTAGAGTCACTCCCCGTTGGGCTCACTCTAAAGTGGCATTGAATCGATTCCGATAAATTTCGGAGAATATTCTGCAATATGCAACTGTCAGATCAGGAGTTTGGTCGGCGTCCGCTAGAAATTCATGGAGCGGCTAAACCTCATCTACAGAGTCATTGCCTTCTCATCATCTGTAATTCGAAATTCTTACCTCGGGATGAGATGCCAAATGAGATCCCGAGGAATCAGTCCACATCTTTACGCCACTTTGCTCTGCCGCTGTCCATAGGAAGTGCTTTGTTCCTGAAAGCAATTAATTTTCTACCTCAACTCCGACAAACTTAGCACAACCAGGTCGATATTCGATCAGTACCTCGTCTGCACACATGTGGAACTTGTTACTACCTTGATCCAGCTGCAGCTCTTGAGAGGCGTATAATAATAACTTGCAGTCCAAACAAAGGTAACACAAAGAACTGATTGTAACAATCTTACAGCTGGGAGCGACAGTATATCCTCCAATCCGACTTAATTTCCGTGGGTCAGATATCACTCTAAAGTTGGACAAACACATGCATTCACATTCTTATCCAGCTTACTAGAGCAATTACGATTCTGATACTGTTGCTATCCTGATGACGAGTGATGTATTCGTGATAAAATTCACTGGCCACACCACTCCTTGAAGAGGAGCTCGATGAAACACGAGTCAGTCATAAACAGTCGTAGATAACATCACGCAAGGTACCTGAATTTGAACCTATGCTACTAAATTCTCTACTGTAGATAAGAATCATGAGAAAAACTCACAGAAGATCCATGATGCTGTCCATGATGCTGTCCATAATGACCTGTGAAGTACTCGCCATCCTGTTTGGCCTCAGGCTGGGCTTGAACGTAAGGGCTGGAGTGTGTCTGGGAACCGTAAGGGCCAGGAAAGCTCTGAGTAAGTCGGACCGCTGGCTTCACCTGCAGAATCAATGACGCAATAATTGAGGCCATCAAATTTCTGTAAACGAGCTGAATTCGTAACTACCTGGGTGATGGCTTAGAACCACAACAAACGCAATGTACAAGCAGATGGTGAAAGAAGTTCTACGTATGTGCCAAGATCCACTATGAAAGCTCTGATGATGGGAAGCTTCGGGTTATAATCAGCAGAGTTGTGAAGCGTTGAGAGTGGTGCACGGCCTTTTCTGTCAAGTTTGTACCTTCAATGCAGGCTAAGACGTCTTGATACCTCTCTTCAATAAAGGGAATATCTGACTTTCTCTTTGAAGCGTCCACATCCGTCTACACGACAAGAACAATTGGAATCTTAGCGGAGGCAGTAAGATACCTTTGGAGTGTACGAGATTTGAAGGCCGATATCTCCCCGGGGTTCAAGAGTGTATTGCGTTACTGGCAGTTTTTTCTGGGAAAATGCGTCTGACAGTGAAATTCTGTAAGCATGTATACAACAACGAAGTCATCAGAATCTCTCTTTTGGTGAATCAAATACCATCCCTCACAAATCTGAGTTTCCTTGATTGTTCATTGTACGTAAAAATTATATCTGATAATCAGTGTGCCAGCAAATAGGACTTCAAGGTTGCAAGCAAGCTGTTCAAACTAGATATCCCGTTCAAAGTGTATCAGCAGTATTTTGCTCAAGTATTGGAAAAGATTTGACCTCGAGCTCACCTATTATTAGTCAATCAGGGTATCAATTATCATGCATAGCTGAAAGCATAAATCTAGGCACTTGAGTCGGAACGTTTCTCACACCCCTTCGACTTTCTCTACCCACCGGCTGAAACAGAAAAGCTGTGGAGTTTCCTTGATTCCCTCCTCTTCGAATGATAACTACCCTTTCGATACAAACAATTCACTAGAGCTGCAAGTATTGTCCGGTTGCACTTACGTGGTAGTCCCTATGATATCGTCTGTTTGCAGCGCATTTTCATTGTATATTTTGATTTGCACATCTGTGTCGCTGTCGTCAACATAGAAGTGGAACTTCTGATTCCAGACTGGTGTGGAGCCTTGATCTGCAGTCAATGAAGAGATCACTACCCTGATTGAATGTATATTGAAGATGAAGACAACATTAACCAAGCAACAAGCGCTTGCTTTTGTTGTGAAGTTATCAACAGGTTTGTAATGCATAAAGTAAATGAGCAGAGACAAGCCAAGAGTGAATATGATGGAAAATTGAAGAGTACTAACTTTGGAGGCTCACAAACTTGATACTCTCGAAACTGAAACAGTCGTTGAAGAATACAGCAAAATACTATCCAGGTCTGTTTCTGACTCAATGAGAACACTACGAGAGACACTTCAACACTCGAAGAATCAGTAAAAAGACTCTTGGGTTCGAAATCATTACTTTTCGCAACGTTGCTCGTCACTTCTCGCTTTCCACACATTATAACAACATAGGGATCCCCTTTACCTGCAAAGGAATATAGTACAGGGGTCTTCAATGAAAGGGTTGCGCTTAATATCCGAACCAAATATGAAAAAAAGTAAAATCCTGAGTGGTTTCTCACAAAGAATTTCAGTGACGAGGTACGTAATTGAGGGTAATATGAAAGATATGAACTTCATCTCGCGCATTGTGCATCATTATACCAAACCCAGGTTTTTAATAATGTTGACAGTGTGATCATGTTTTCAAATATATTTTCCCTCTCCTTGCCCATGTTCTGCATGGACAAGGAGAGATAGGTTTCTCGTTTTTCAGAACCTTCCGTGGAAGGTTTTTCCTGATAACGATTAGGGAACACATATATGCAGACAAGTCTGTGGACACAGCACTTCAGGATTGGTCAGGGTCAAACCCTGTCACGTATTCTTCCTCACAACTTAATTTGCACGAGGGCCGAAAGTCGGGTGTTCCAGAAAGTGAAACAACGGAGCTGAAATAAATCAGCAAGACTTTCAGAAGATCCAATAGCTTATTGCAGTGCGATCACGTGCGTAGGCTATAGAGACTGCCATTTGAGTCATAACAATGACATAAACTTTGAGCGCCTTCTCTTTTAAATAACGTTGCGAAAATTTAGATAATTTAGATTTAAAACACGTGACTTTAAATAAGAAGGCGCTCAAGTCGGATCCTCATGATCATGGTCAACTCTGAAGACAGAATGCTGGACGCTGGATCCATGACTCACTAATCCAAAACTGCATCGGAAGTCGTATGTATGCTAGCCCGAAGAGCCAGGCGTGTGGGGGAACAAGAGTTTCACGTACCAATCCATTCCGAGTCCTTGATCGCTGAAGCTCCTATCAAGTTTACTTTGACCGTGCCAGCCGGCATCTCTACGGCAGTCGTCACGAGAGGGCTGGCAGCAGAACTTTCTCACGTACTTGACACTGGCCTCCGATCTTCAAACCTTCGGTGAAAAGTTCTATCCCAGCGGCTGTCCAGCTGCAACGTTCCCAATGACACCAGAAGCAGAATTATGAGTCATGATAACTGAAATTTAAGATCGTAAAAGAAATTGTAGCAATACTTTTACTCAAAAGAACCTTAACACCAATAACTGTCAATAAACGTGATCAAAGCCAGATTTCACGGATCAAGACGCACCGTTCTCGAGCTATGAGAGATTTGTCGTCGAATTTCGAGAGCAAGTAATTCAATATCTGGACTCTACACGGAGCGTGTACATCTAACTAGTTGTGTACATGTGCTTAGGATGGCGGAGATGAGTCGGGTCGGCAAGTCGAGGAGAAGGAAGAATTATCTGCGCTCCCTACTGGACGCTCAGTTGTGGAGTCTCATGTCACAACAACAGAGGCCAGCGCTTTTGTACAATGGATCCAAGAAGCGCGAACTTCTAGAACAGGCCATTCAGCATCTCACCTGGAGAGAAAGAATGGTGCCTGAATGTTTAATTAAAAACGAGAGATCAGCGGATGACGTGGAAATCCGAAGGGCGATTCCGTTATTGCTCATGCGAGACACGCGAGACAGACTCATTCTTCACGATTGGACGTTGTACCTCCAGACCGATGAGCCGAAATATGATGCTCCGCCCAAGGAAGAAGTTGTTCACAGTGGCTTGCGTCCCGCCATTCCGCAGTTCTCACCGGCCTGCGGAGGCAGACCGGGGGCACCCCCAACGACTCGCCCGGGAGATCTGCGCTTATAAAAGGTATTGTGACAAGATGTTGTGAGCACATACAGGCTCGAATTCATGCATCACGACGAGGCCCAGACACGGGACGTGCACTGCCAGTTGTCTGATCTTAAAAAGACAATTTCATCGAATCTCAGCGATTCTCAATAGTTTCGGTAGCTCCTGCTGTTTCTGTTTGTCTGCGTAGTACCTTTCACATTGTTCTCCCACGTTTGCAGGTTTTTTGGATCGCTTTCGAGGGACTTGTTCCACACTAGTGGGGACACCAGTTCTTTCGTTGACTCGCCTTTTTTCCATGGCTGGATAATTAGTGAAGCTAACAGTCCCATCCTTGTTTTTGAGTACTTGGTTTACCCTTAATATGATAATCAGCAAGAAACATGATTCGATTCTCTAGTGCAAGTTAATGACATAAAACAAATCATTTTTTCTTGAAAACGTTGAGTGTATATCATCAACCTCAGTGATTGTCCAGAAAACGTTGTACACAGTTGGATACGTTTGTGGGAATTGACAAGGAACACACTGGGAATCTGAATGATGTTATACATTTATGTTTTGTATAATACTATCCAAGATTTATTCTACTCTGTAGTATAAATAATGTAGATGTTTGAGCAAACGTGTGTTCACACGAAAAAATTGAGTTGAATAATTATGATGTGTTGTAATCTTTTAAACATTGCGTCATTATTAAAACTGATGCCATTCAAATTCTTGAGAAGGCTCATTCTGATTTTCTTTTTGATTGTCTGCTATTTGAAAAGTTCTAGTCACTCAAGAAAATGTTAAGCCATAAATAATTAAGTACTCAAGAAAATCCAACAGATTGGTTACATGTACAATACCAGAGAAACTCTAAATTGTGCTGTTATAATCATCCTGATTAAGTTCAAATGATCTGTTCGAAGATCTTGATTCAAGTTCAATATAATCAGATGTGTTTTCAATTTTATTATAAATTTTTGGTCCAATGAAACTGGCAGTTATCGTTAGTTTTTTCAGTAGCTTTACACCTTATTCAATATAATGCGTATTGCAAAATAAAGTGAGGTATTTGCTTGATGGGACACCATCCAAATGTAAATTGATGGGTCCTATCAAGTTTCAATTTACCCTATGGGACTCCACGGACTATGTGCTCTCGCTGAGTTCTAGTAGGTGTTCTAGTATAGGTATGTTCTTGTACATATAAGTTCTAAAACGTGTTTTTGTAATAATATGTGTTCTTGTAGTCATGTATTATTGTACAAATATATTCGAATTTGTGTTTTTGCGATAGTTTGTGTGACGTGGCACTAGAGTTTTAACCAGAGCGGTCTTCACCAATAACCGGTCTGAAAGTCAAACAATGTGTAAGATACATCATGAAGATTTGCTTCCTTTCACAGCGATGCTCCCGGCAATTTTATTCACCACCGTTCAAACACATTGGAGTCAACCACTCGGCACTAATGGGACACAAGGTTTCACCATTCGCTTTTGCAAACTGGACAGCTGTTCCGTTTATTCGACAGAACGCCGTCGTCTGTTCATACTAGAACAGTGTAATATACCCATCGGGTACATTTTACAATACCATCGGGTAAATTGAAACTTGATGGGTACCATCAAGTATTTTACTTTTGGATGGGATCCCATCAAGTATATATCTCATAATAAAAATTTTAATACTGTTTTATGCTCTTTCATGTTTTGAAATTCTTTTCTTCATTAAAACTCTAAGGATATATTTTTGAAATATTTTCGTTAATTCGGTTATATAATTATAATAACAATATATGCTTATTATTCCACATGCATATATTCAAAAACGAGTTTCATTTTATACTAATTTTCAAAAAAATTATAAAAAATAATCAAAATATGAATGAAAGATTGATAAGTTGATTGAAACCAATATTTTGCATGAACATAGTTGTATACGTCTTAAATGGTCTAATGGATAGAAAATTTCGTTTCTCAAGTCAAAAGAATGGATTGCATCATAGATTTATACGAAATTAATTTGATCTAATTGTGTCATATAGATATATAATACATATATTAAGTTTAAAAAACAATTGCACAGCAGAATGTTTTGTCTAGAAAATTCAACTGCGGAGCATGTGAACATTACGTTTTCCTGATCATCCCACTACCAGATCGTATTCGTTATCTTTTCAAATATATCAAACAGTAAGATAGCCTCCAAAGTGACGCAGCATCTTTGTTAGTCGCACAGATTCTCCATCATTTGTCACTTGAATCTTCGTGGAGCATCAGCAGGAAATGCAAGCGCCGCGATTTCTTCATAAACAACGCCTTCAGAGTCGGGTCGGAAGGGGAGGAGTATGAGTATGAGAACACGTAGATGAGGTAGCGTCGATCACAGTTGCAAAACTTCTGCATAGTATTGTACAATCTTCCTTGATGTCACGAGAGACGGTCTAACCCAGAATTGCAGGGTTTCTCTAAACTGGAATTAGAAACCTGGATTCTTTCATTTGGTAGAGCAAAATGTGGAGCCCGTTAGAAGCAGCATCCGTGACCATAGCAGTCACGAAAATGCCAACAGTTTCGTGCCCGAGCTGGACAGTTGCAGATCTGCTGTGAATGTTGACTTGATTCAAGGAGAATGCGTGTTGGTGGTGGTTGTAACTAACCTAACAGCATAAACGTAAGGTAACCTCTACAGTACTATACATTGCTGGCATGATAGAGGTGGTGCTTGGCTCTGTTAAGAACTAGTTACTCGGGCTCAAAAGAAGTGCATGAAATCATGTATATATGATGTAGGGGTTTTGCTGAAAAATCTGTTCACCTCTTAAAATCAGAGCTTGGAATGGAAGGAACGGTCTGAACTTTCTTTCGCCGTTCACTTCTTACTTCGTAGCATGATACTTGGTTTCTCCTGTTCACGTCTGCATCTTCTCATCCAGGGGTTCATAGGTGCTCGATACGAATTGTTCAGAATGTCTGCTGCGAAATTCTAAAAGCACTTGCGATGACGAGACGCCCATTTTGAGCTTGGAATAGAAGGAACGGTCTGATCTTTCTTCGGCCGTTCACTTCTTACTTCGTAGCATGATACATGGTTTCTCGTATTCACATCTGCATCTTCTCATGCAGGGGCTCATAGGTGCTCGATACGCACTGTTCAGAATGTCTGCTGCGAAATTCTAAAAGCACTTGCGATGACGAGACGCCCATTTTGAGCACCGGAGTCCTAGTTCTATCTAGGAATTGCTTGATACAGTCCGTACCAGCTGTAAAGCACATAGCTATATGTCGAATTCAAGGATAGTAGTGTTTAGTTACATACTGAGAATCAATTGTGCAGCATGTCAAGTGGATTTACCTCTGGTTTGTAATACATTTTATCAACCATTGCTGCCTGGTCTGATGAATTGATATTATGTGGTCTATGGAGATCCTTTCAAGTTCTGTGTGGGATGAAAGAGCAAGCGAACCTGCCAATATTAAGTTTCCAGTAACGAGGGTTTGCCTTTCGCCTCGTAAAGTATTGAGTGCTTGTATTGTGAGTAATGTCTTTGGTTTATTACCGATGTAAGGAAACCTATTTGCGGATGACAAAGTCTGATCCCGATAACTGTGTGATTATTGACATGAACACTTATAAGAGTGCGGGTATAACAATTGATTATGGTAAATAGTAATAGACCAAGCCCGGGGGACCCAAAGCGTGAAAAGGCTGAAAAACATGTTCACGTAGGTAGAATATTCTTTGATGCTCTTGCATATGAACTTTTTGTATAAAACGTGCAATATTAAACTTAAAAAGTATAACTACATTTGATTAATTTTCATCACTAAATTTGCCTTTAGACAACATAAATTCTGCTGATATTGGTCATTTGAAAATTTTTGTAAGTAGAAGCTTATATATGATTTTAAAAAACGTCTTGGAATTTTTTGAACTTGAAATAATATCAGGCGTAAAATGATCTTTGAACTATCAAATTAACGTAATGCAGAATATTACTAACTCAAATAAATACGTGTGGCTATGGATACGAATTTATTAATAAAGAGTAAATTTTGACTGCATTGTGTCTATTTTTTGTCTGGAATTGAAACAAATCTATTTCTTCATACTCTTCAGAATTTACTTATTTTTGAAAATCGAAATTAATGCAATAACTCTGAATTTTCGAGAAAAACTTAGACTTTATTCTTCTCCATTTAGATGGTATGCATTGAATATTATATTTCTATCACTAAAAAAACTGACTGTAAATCATCATTGAACACATGTAACCATAGATTGAAATAAAGGATTGCAAAAACAAGTTGTGTGGAATGAAAAGCAAATTTTTTTAAAATATTCTACATGAATTGTTTTCACCTGTGAATTTAGGTTGACATTGTGAAAACATTCATGTAAAGAAGGTTCATCGTTAATTTCTAAAATTTTTAGTTGAGTTTTTGAAACTCTAAAGTGTCTTAATTTAAGTGGTTATAGTCATTCTACATAGTTTATAAAGACAAATTTGTAATAGTGAAAATAAGTATTCATACTAATAGTTTCTGGATGGCTTTTCCGTAATGATGAAATTGAAAAGGAAAAAATATACCAAATCTTGCAAACACTTGCAAGTGATATCATTTTTGAATCAGAGTTCAAACTCTGCTGTCTACCTGAATATTTGAAGTTTGGCGTGAGTAGGCCGCAGGGAAGTATTTACTTCTTTTCAAAGTTTCCCACTCTTCCTTCCAGTTACTCACTGCGACACAATACATGACGTTGCTCCTCAAAGCCTGTGGGCTGAGTTAGGGCCCAAGAAGAATTGTATCTACGCAAGCCAAAGTTGATTTTAACATAATGATTGAGTTTTCACAGAATGTTTTTAAATTCTCTATCTGGAAAGTTGATGAGAATATAAATTGAAAGGTATGCAAGGGTTAAAAGTAGGGGGGAAAAGTTTTCGACCGTTATGAAGAGCTATATACATAATTTAAAGGGACTTTGTAAAAGAGGTCTATACATGTCTTAAAGGGAAAAAATATTTCCGATTCCCTAAATTTACTTCTTTCAAGCTGCCTCGGAAAGTTTTGAGGGTAAATCCAGTCATAATTTTTCTAGAAAATTTGATCTGACCCAGAACATATGTTGGACTACTAGATTCTGGATAATTTAAGAAAATAATTCTTTTCAGGAACAAAGTTTGCTTTTAATCGTCCCAGTAGCAATGAAACTGACATAACAAGGCATCATAATAGTGACAGCTCCGGCAATTTGTAAATTTTCAGCAGAACAGTTCAGCTTGCAATTCGTGCTGAGAAGATATCGACATTTAAGCGTGAACTCGAACCCTTTTCCCCTCCGAACATTTGGTAGCATTTGGCATTTAAACAACTGATTGTCTCCGAGATGAGAGGCCCAGATATGTATGTAGGTTACAACGATTACGTTACGAATGCAGAGTACGTAGAGTGATCATTAGCAACAGGAACCATCAACAAAATTCGTCTGAACGTGAAACCCTTTACATAGTTTTATTTCGGGAAAAATTGGATCGGTGTATGCAATCTATACTCTGCAGTAGCTTTGCTAACATCAGGAGGTGTTGATCGGTTGGAATCAATGAGAGAACCTATTCCAAAATAAATGTTTTGGTTCCCGTGCAATTGCTCTGTCAAAAGGACGCTACTGGTAGCTTCCACTTGTGGGCCTACCTATATCATACAACATCATCGGTTTTATGAAGAACTGCCAGCATCTGTTATGTGCTCGTGGATTTGTCGTAGAAGATGCAGCCTTCTGCTAGATGATAGATTTGTATTTGCTGCCATTATCTAGACCTATGTGTTGGTAGGAGAGGCTGGACTTGTGGGCGTTGTGCTGGTGGAGTTGTCGTAAGAGATCCAGCTTTCGTCAAACACTTTCTCATAGCTGTAACCGAAGTCTTCCGTGCTCAGGGAGTCTCTGACTTTCACACTCCTCACGACAGCATTTTCATCAAAGAACAAAAACTCTGCGTCCAGCCAATCTGGCGTGGACGGGTCTGTTCTGCTATTACCCAGCTTCTGCCACACATCCCAGAGCCTTTCCAGATTAGAGTGGAACACATAAAAGATGGGATCTTCTGGCGCGTGTGTCGTCAATGCAGTCGAGCCTCCTATCCAGCGGTGAACACTGTTGTGGGGAAGGAACTCCAGAGAGCCTCCTCCATTAATATCGAGATTCTGGGGGTCTCCGTGCTTGAACTCCACTCCATGAAAATCCAAACTAGTGTTGCCCGCCGCCATCGCCCTGTGCATCAGTTCGCGGTTTCTGGGAACCGCCACGCTCGCAAAACGCAGAGGAATATCACTCCGATTGAGAACCGTCAAGTCCAACGGAAGGTTTGCAATGAAGGGTCTCTCAGATCGGTTGGCATGGAATGTGGACTTGGAAGGGTCGCTGTAGAGCTCGGGGAAGAGGTATCCCTTTCTGTAGCAGCCGTCTTTGCCATGGCTCTCGCCATCGACATTGTTATCGAAATTCCAGAAGTGTAGACTGAATGTGGTGTCGTTGAGCAGCGACTGGAGAATCCTCTCGTGAAAGTATATGAACTGCCGGTGCCAAGGAGAGAAGTACCAGTTGAAATGCACATCAATGGTGAGGTTGGCAGTGCCATCCTGGATGAAAGCGCCGCTTCCATAAGCACAGTGGAGGGCATTCTGCTGGTAGAAGGAGCGAGGGTCGTCCATGGGCAGAGCTTTCATCAGATCATATGCTCTCCAGAGTTGTTCGCTGTAGATTCTGAGCTCGTCGCCAGCCAAGCATTGCAATGCCTTTCTGACTCGATGCGGCCCAATATGATCACGTTTGGGGATGAATTCGACGATGGGACCCTTGGTGTAGGTGGCAGGAGGGCAACAATGAGTAATCTCGCCGAAGAAATTACCTGCGTGGCAAGTATCTAAAGTAGTCTGCGTGAGGCGGATGGGCGCCGACTGCACAGATCCCCAGCTGCTAGTCCAAGCTACAAACAGGAACAAAACCAGTAACTCCTTTGACTTCATCACTGTGCCTCTCGTCAGCGGAGCTCAGAGGAGGTCCTTGCTCCCACGACCTTCGAATATCCGTCAACACTGAAGCGAGTGCTCAAATACTTGAGCTCAGATGTGAATTCAGAAGTGACGGCGGGATCGGCAGCTCCTACTATTGGAATCGTAACCCGGACTGGATCGGTCGGTCTCGTCCTGCTTCAATCTGCGTCTCTGCGTCCCTCATTCCAATCGTGCTTGCATCGGGCCAGAACTCGATTACAGCAGACGGGATCTGATTTGAAGAGGCTACGAGTTGCGGGACTGAAAATGAGTGTGAGAACGAGGACGGGGGGCGCTTATAAACGGACGCCCCCCGAGTCGAGTCGCGGTCCGACGCGCGTCGCAGACCGGCGCGGCGCATGTCGGGTCTCTGGGAGCGGGGTCCGTTAACTGGGCGCACGAGACTGCGGGGACTACCATGCTCATGTCAGCAGGGAGGAGAACGCGCTTCGAAAGGGAACAGACGGGAACGGGACCACTCGGTCACTTTGGACTTCGGACCCCGGAAGTCAAATCCTCTGACCTCCTTGTCGGAGTCAGCAGAATTGATAATTCCAGTCGTCTCTCTGGAGATGGAATGCGCTTTCCATCTTTCTGCATATGGTGTCCTGGAAAGTCTGGCGCAGTGATTCGTTCGCCGATCTCTAATTTATTGCGAGATGGGGGAAAGGTGCAGCCGTAAGGTAAAGGGAACTGCGACTAGGTAAAGCGTATACAAGCCAAGCCTAGTGTCCAGATAAACCTATGCCCGAATGACGAGGCAAAGAGCGTCAATGTCATTCTCGTTATGAATTGGTCCTCTATGTCATCCACTCGCTACACGCCGCATGCAAGTTAAAAGATCTCTTGTCAGCAGGATCGCCAACAAGAATTTCGTAGCATATGATGTCAATCTTCCTACCTAGAGGTTAGTCTCATGCAGATTATAGTGCAAATCTCACCCTCGAAAGAGATTTATATGCAAGGGGTTATTTTGTATATGATAAACCCCTTGTGATGACGTTATGTTCGTTTCCCAACCAATGTATTCTTATAAAGAACAAACTGAAGAAAATGTGATTACCATGTTTTGATAGAAAGCAAGACGAGAGGTTATAAAAGATGTAACCAGAACTATTCCAACAGTTAAGATTCAGATTGTAAGTGAAGACACATTCGAAAGGCCCATAGCAAAATGTGAGATTTTTTTTTATAGATTAGCGATGCTTCCAAGTTGAATGTATGCGCAAATATATTTTAAGCATTGTTGCAACATGGAGTCTTTTAGAAAGCCGAAGTATTGTACTTCAAATTCTCATTTAACCTTCAGCCCATTTGAATACCAAAGCAATACTATTTATATTTATAGTTATTATATATATAATAACTATAAATATAATTGGAATTCTACTCTTGAGTTTCGATGTAGATTTATTGTGAATTTTGTAATATAAATGGGTGGCTGCTCAAGGAATAAATAAATTAATCACATATAGTGTTATTTTTATTCATATTTTATTATTTCTATTTTATCCATAAACGGTAATTATATCAGATGATATTTCTTCGTATTATGCTTTTAGATTTTTTATACATAAGTAAAAATTTAGATGCAATGGTACCAACTCACTACCTCCATGGTTTCTACTTTGATTCATTCATAGATTTATGAGACTTTTCAATCTTTTAGATTATTCTTTTCTACATAAAAAAAGTAACGAAACCAAAGCTTCAGGATGAAGGCTCTATGTTAAATTGATCCAAAAATAATTTGGAGTGATTACTTTTATAACAAGAGAGGAATATCGATCTTCTTTTCCTTGAGTCTTTGGATTGATCTTTTCTCCATGAATTTAAGATTGAAGTTGAAGATAAACATTCACAAGGGAAGTGTATACACCAAAGAGTTGACATAAACATTACATGGTTTATGGCACCTTGTTATGTTCACGTAACACACGTAATCGTAAATATTATTATTGAGGGTATCTATCAGTTTTCTTGTGTGGTGGCCGCCTATTTTATGTAACTGACCCTAGTGAAAATAGCTAGATAGAGTTAACCAACACCCGAATCAACTCCTAACAGATATGTTTAATTTTTTTGAACAAAGTTTGCGATCTGTAATTTGTATATTGAAGCTCTCTTTGGTAATAATCTTCAGCCTTACAACCTTATCGAATGGATATCCTAGATTATTATTGATTCCATAACATTATGATAAAGTCTATTAAAATTTGAATCTATAAATCTTAGAAACTTGTAAAGAAGCGTAATTAAATCACATAAATTTTCGTTTCTCATGTTACGCAGTTAAAAAGAATCATGACATCGATTAATATTAAGAAGGTTGCAAATTATTTGTACGTTTGAATCCTCACTCTTAAATCATTCATATTTACAATCAAATATCATCTAGCTGTTAAAAATTGGTTAAGCTTCTACAGTTATATGATATTCTCTTTATATTTATTATAAGCGTTGAGTATCAGTAGATTTTTATACTTAAGTTCATGATCTAAGTTTCCGCATGTGATGCAATGTTTCTTTCTAAATGGATAAGGAGAACAAAGTGGAGAAAAAAATAGATATGAAGATATGATTCGTCATAACAAGTTGACATCAGAGGAGCAACAAGGGTAGATCCCAATATAACTTAAATAAAAAGTAAAATAATTTTCAAGATTGGAATCATTCAAACTATCTACATCAACCTTCTAGAAACAAGAGGATCACCCTTCGCCTCTTTACTCTTCACTGATGTACTATGTGTATTCGCGTGAATGGTCATTTGCATAGCACATTCATTATGAAAACGCTAATTGAATGTTATCAATCCTACCTGGTCGAGCTTCACTTTTTTTTAAGGTTGAAAAATTTGAGTTGTTGGAGTGATTCCAACGAGAGCAGTACAGTTGGATGATAAAGTTATTTCGAATTATATCAATCACCTCCAAGTATTGCTGATTTCTTTGTTCAAAAAATAACTTACAGTTGTATAGGCCTGAAATCAGGCCTATACAACTGGTTTCTAATGTTTTCTAAAAGAAAATGCTTATCTCAAGTCAATAATTTAACATACAGTTCTTTAATAATATTTTAGTATTTTGTAAGATAAACTCTGGTTAAATACCGTGCAAGTGACTCAAGAGCCAACTTTTGCTATCTCCCAACCCACGATTGAGCGAGCCACTCGCAAGTGGTCGCCTTTGTGCCCTGAACTTTCAAATCTCTAGAATTTATCTTTGCTTTACTTTGGATCATGTGAGTGAACTTTCTTATACATGTTATCTGGTCGGACAAGGTAGTCATAAGTTTCAACAAACTTTTCATGCATATATCCAAAGCGTTACAAGACCGAAAACGAACAGATGTCACATATTTATTGTCATATACTTGTACTGGGGCGATATTCAATGTTATATTATTCGTTGGTCTACAAGCATATGCAAGTTAGTAAATTATCTTCATGACACTTGGGGTCTCAATGTGGTGAGCACAGTTGTATCATTATGGACGATGCTTAAAGATAGCTCCGATTTTAGTTTGCACAATCTGCAGCAGATTAGAAAGATCACTGTCCGGTACTCTTTAAAGAATTAGTCGTTTCGTCCTTCCAATACCCGGCCACTCAATGCTTTCAATAAAAGGTGAAACAATCTAAGAAGCATCCGGCTAGCAACCTTCTGTACCTCGATGAACATATGCAAGAAGTACTGAGCTTCGAGGAGTTCGGGAACGTAGGACCAGATTCGATCCTGAAATGTATTATACTATAATGTACTGTTCAAACAAACCCTGTTGTTTGTATGAACTTTTCATGAAGGACTTTTCAGAGAGAAAGGATTTGTCTGGCTTCGGTTCTGATCCAAAACTACGGTACATTGAATCTACTGAAAGGAGATATGTACATATCCAATCTCAATGAATACTCTTCCGCATGGACAGTCTTTCACGCATGCTCTGTTTCAGTGAATTGGCCAACTGTGCACTTTTATGGGAAGGGTTCTCTCTCTCTCTCTCTTACCTCACGTTTGGCCTCTCTCAGCTTATCAACCATTGTGGGCTATTGATTCCCGGTCATGCCTGTGGGATACCAAGATGACAAGCCGAATGTGCACGACACATGTAAGGAATTAAAAGTGGCGAAATGTTCGCAATTTATTTCGAATTTGTAAGCATCTTATCGTAAAGAATGAGTTAATCGGTCTATCGAATGTATATGTTCGATTTCAGCTCTGAGAAATCCAGGGCTTTCTAGTCGAATTGAAAGAATGAAGAGTCTAATACTAAGTGTTGATTTTCATGTACTCCAAGTGCCTTGAAAGTCTCAGGAAAAGGATTGTAGTAGCTAAGTTGGATAATCTGGGATTCACTCCCGGTTTATCCAACTTTGACACTATCAATTAACATGTCATCAGTTGGATGACGGAATGAAAACTGCTCGCAGTATCTAGACTTATGTGTTGGTAGGAGATGCTGGACTGGTGGGCGTTGTGCTGGTGGAGTTGTCGTAGAAGATCCAGCTTTCGTCAAACACCTTCTCATAGCTGTATCCGAAGTCTTCCGTGCTCAGGGAATCTCTGACTTTCACACTTCTCACGACAGCATTTTCATCAAAGAACAAAAACTCTGCGTCCAGCCAATCTGGCGTGGACGGGTCTGTTCTGCCATTACCAAGCTTCTGCCACACATCCCAGAGCCTTTCGAGATTGGAGTGGAATACATAAAAGATGGGATCTTCTGGCGCGTGTGTCGTCAATGCAGTCGAGCCTCCTATCCAGCGGTGAACACTGTTGTGGGGGAGGAACTCCAGAGACCCTCCTCCATTGATGTCCAGGTTCTGGGGGTCTCCGTGCTTGAACTCCACTCCATGAAAATCCAAACTAGTGTTGCCCACCGCCATCGCCCTGTGCATCAATTCGCGGTTTCTAGGAACCGCCACGCTCGCAAAACGCAGAGGAATGTCACTCCGATTAAGAACCGTCAAGTCCATTGGCAGGTTTGCCATGAAAGGTCTCTCAGATCGATTGGCATGGAATGTGGACTTGGAAGGGTCGCTGTAGAGCTCGGGGAAGAGGTATCCCTTTCTGTAGCAGCCGTCTTTGCCATGGCTCTCGCCATCGACATTGTTATCGAAATTCCAGAAGTGTAGACTGAATGTGGTGTCGTTGAGCAGCGACTGGAGAATCCTCTCGTGAAAGTATATGAACTGCCGGTGCCAAGGAGAGAAGTACCAGTTAAAATGCACATCAATGGTGAGGTTGGCAGTGCCATCCTGGATGAAAGCGCCACTTCCATAAGCACAGTGGAGGGCATTCTGCTGGTAGAAGGAGCGAGGGTCGTCCATGGGCAGAGCTTTCATCAGATCATATGCTCTCCAGAGTTGTTCGCTGTAGATTCTGAGCTCGTCGCCAGCCAAGCATTGCAATGCCTTTCTGACTCGATGCGGCCCAATATGATCACGTTTGGGGATGAATTCGACGATGGGACCCTTGGTGTAGGTGGCAGGAGGGCAACAATGAGTAATCTCGCCGAAGAAATTACCTGCGTGGCAAGTATCTAAAGTAGTCTGCGTGAGGCGGATGGGCGCCGACTGCACAGATCCCCAGCTGCTAGTCCAAGCTACAATCAGGAACAAAACCAGTAACTCCTTAGACGCCATCACTGTGGTGTCTCTTGTGTATAGGTGATAACAAGTCCTTATTTCCAAGGCTTGTTCTCTTCAGCTTGCTCGAAGATAGCTAGCTCTTCGGGATGCGGGACCTCGCAGAAATGGAGATTTCTCTTGGAACCGGGTCTTGAATCTCTTTCTCTCTTCGTCTTCCTACCTCGCTCATCGGGTGTTGAAATCGCGGTGTATCTGAACTCGGTTGCCAAACCTTGTACAGATTCCCACAAGTTTCAATTCACTGATCACACTCAGTACAGTAAGGATGGATACTATGATGCATAGGGCGAAGGCTTATAAATGAAATGGCTCCTTCCGGCCAGAGTTCCAGAGATGTGTCAGCAAACCAATCTGAAGTGTGTCCACGGGGCTGCGCAGTCTTTTGTTGCCCAGTCTGTTTCTTAGTTCCAGAAGACTGCCGGACCATAGTCTGCATGTCAGGTGCGAGAATCGGGCTCTTGCTACTGGTGACCGAGACAAGGAAAACTTCTGGTCTACTGACTCTAGTTTGACTCTGGTGGAGCTGCTGACCCTCACTAGGTCCCACTTGAGGGTCAAAGCCATCCATTTTGATGTCTGATCTGTTTTAGGACGACTTCATCTTTGGTTACCCGGAGCCTTCATCTCGCTGACAATGTCAGAATCTTTGGTGGATACTTACAATACCTTTCAATATGATAAAAGACTCTACCCTAGTTTGATCCTAGCTCAAGTTGATGAATATTCCCTAATATGGTCGGATGAAAGGAACACCAGTTAAAAGCATTATCGAATGAAACCGACGATGAAAACATTTTTAAACCGATTTTTTGTACAAAGATTTCAAAACTTAATTGGAGCAATCAAAATCTTGTGTTTCTTTTCATTAATAATATCTCAATGACCATTTGGATTAAAAAGATTCACGTCCCTAATTTGCGTCATCTGCGAAGAAATTTGGAAGGGTGAGTAATATATACATATAAAGAATCGACTAAGGAGCTCTAGATATGATGAATTTTGATTTGTGAGGGTCGCGGAGGCTTCCGTTAATGGTTAATAGTCCACGTATGCAAACTAAGCCTGCGGGAACTAAATAACGAAAGGTCTTGGAAATTCTTCTTCACAACAGTTTGCATAAGTGGGTAATGGTGATATATACTACTTCCAATTCCTTCACACAGAACGTCCAATTTTTTCAGATTGTTGGGCAACATCTGTCCATTTATATCAGTCCATACATAATATTTGATTGCATGCAAAAAACTTTCAATTGATGAATTGACGCTCTAAGAAGAGCGACATAGTAAACATGCAAGAACTTATTTGGTTACAACTGTACTTGACGACAGCATGAATCTCTACGACGGGCAGACTGGCTCCGGTCCCGCTACTTCATGTATCGAATTAGATTACTCAAGCTTTCCATTGTCATTAATATGCAGTCCACCATCTACGCATATTTATTTTACTGTGATTTGCATAAGGAACTGCAGAGTGTTATATCTGAGACTGAGATTGTGATTTTACTTTGGAATACCTTGTGTCTCGGCCATGTGCCCGAGACATTGCGCATCTTCCAATGGGAACAGCAGAATTGTGACAGAAAGGGATACTGTTAAGGTAAACTTATCTGACTGACCACAGGATCATCAAGCTTGGATATCTAGTTGGCGAGGTCCAAGCGTATGACTCTGAGACTCTTGTCTCGAGCATGAGGTCTCAACTCCATCCTCGCATGTTTAAAATATTTGACGATGTCCAACTGTGCACGTGGAAATTTGCGTACGCTTGGATTCTGGCGATGCTTTTCCCCCTTCACATGTGCAATTTCGCCTATTTACGATTTATATCCTGAAATGTTCATCACCAATGATAAAATTTGGCTAAGTCTTCATCAGTCTGAAAGGTGAAGGCCCGAAAGCGTTCAGGCCTCGCACTTCGGTTAGATGACACAATTTGTTCATCATTTTATGAACCAACTAGCTTCATGGTTCTGTAGTTGTGGATCTGGCAATTTGCACAAGTCTTAAATTACAAATGTACTCTGCAGATCGAAGCAAATAGCTGCTGCAAAGCCACTTACGTTCAAAGTAAGACATTGTCCATCCAAGATAAATCTCCGCAAGTAGTGAAACAATGTCACGAGTACTAGGTTCTTCTCCAGTTTTGTGCAGAATACCAGCAAATTCATCCTGAAATGCCTACATATTGTTATCCATGAGTGCCGAGTTGTGAGCCCTTGGTTATTGATTGAGCCATCTCAATAGGCTAGGAAATCCAAACGAACTAGCATATTATGATCGTTAGATAAGAGACACGTTGATAATGTGCAGGGTCTGTGAAGCATAACTCTTGATTGCAGAGAGGAGCTCTGAACTGTCCTTGCAGTCTGCGTTGATCTCTCATCATTACTCATCTACTTACAATCTGTAATGGACTGCACGCAAGCTTCCACTGTGGGAGCTGAAAGACCAGCGATTGTGTTAAGCTATATGCGTAATAATAGCAGCGCGATTAAGATCAGAAGTCTTGCAAAATTCCCACGGATTTTCTTCAATGAGTTTTGGCGCAACCTTTTATCCAGAATCTTCAAGACCGATGCTAGTGCGCAACCTTGTGTATCGCACATTTAGTAGCAGTCTAGCAAAAGGAAAAAAATAACAAGATCAACCTTTGCCTCACGAAAAAGCGTTCCTTGAAATCTAGGACGTAATCGTACGAATCTGTATCTGTAATCTTACTTCCCGCTGAAACATCCTTCAGGTGCACTCTGTGATTTTCAATGCCATCTGATGTTAGTGCCCATGGTCAGGAGATTGCTACTGGCTGTGTTTAATGCATTCTGAGCACGTGGAGATATTAGGCCATCAAGCGCATGTAGACAACCCCTTGAAGTAAAATCTGATGCCAGAAGCATATAAACAGGGTACAATCAGCACAGACCAGAGGACATATTGGAAGGGAAGCACAATCATGGGCTTTGAAGTCATTCAAGATGAGCTTGATTCTGGATAAGGTTCTACGTTCTGTTACCAAGTTTCTCGCCCGGTGACATAAGACAATAAGCGCCGTACGCTGCAACGAAGACTCTAACCAGAGATTCATCTTATCAAATCTGCTAACTACTTCCCAGGCATGTTGACGTTGCACGGAGTTCGCTCAGAATCTAATTACATAAGATTGAGAAACTAGTACCTTGAAAATAATAGAAATTGTACGTAAACTATTTATGTGACCATCAACGGTGGTAGATCAGATTAAAATCTTTAACACAGATACCAATTATACAACCGTCAGCAAGTAACCTGATAGAGAGGAGACAAGGGAAGATATGGAGAACACTATCGAAAAGGATCAACAAGTTCTGTTCATATTCTATCTGCATTCGTTATCAGCATTGCACTGAACACGGCAGTAAGAGTAAGCAAATGTTAAGAAATTCTTCTTTCTAGGCGTCTTCGACTCGATTAATTGTCTTCCTTCAGTTATTGAGTACGCCTATATGACAAGTTAGTTGGGTTAACGATACAGACTCACGTCCCGAGATCCCTTGTGAAGAAGTACTGCATTGAGATGGATGTGCTTCCTGATTGTTACACATGGTATGCAGGTGAATGCTCAAACGAAGGAGATTGAGGTGTATCGTAAGACAAGCACGATTATGGATAGACTAATAAGAGCTGAAGACCATCCTTGTAGTGCTTGTTTGAATATTGTTCAAACTGTATTCATACATATGCACTTAGTTAAGAGGACTTGGTCAGTTAAGAGGACATTTTTGTATGAAACCAGCCACGTAGTTTTTTGTTCGTAATTTTTTTTATTTCCGGGAGAGTATGGATCCTTGGAACAAGAATTTGATGTTTAATACTGTTCAAAAAGACAAGAGCCCTTTAGTTATCTAAAGGGAATGTGCAAAAGCCTGGTTCATCGGCAGGCTATTTAAAGTTTGCTTTGGTGACATGGTTTGCACCACATGTTGCATTTCTAGATAATGCACGAATTCTTGAGACATTTGGTATTATCTTCTTGCTCTTTGTGCACTGAGCAATAAAGTGGATGTGATAATGTTCCAAACACCCATACATTTCAAAATTAGAAGTGTGACTTGGAAAAATGAAAATATACAATCGTAAATTTTTTTTGTTATGATCCAGTGCATTTCATGTTGAGAGACACTGCACTAATTGTTCACGCGACTTCAATGCAATTGCACACTACTGAACAAAGCCGTTGTCGAACCCGGCTGCATGTTTTAAATGATGTTCTTTCCGCTAGCTGATATGCTTTCTGGTTAGTGAAGATGTTGAATAAGTTCCACATTTGTGAGGTGGGGGCTCGCAGGTCAAAACCTATAATCAACTCATTTATAGAAATTTCATGAGTTTGCACTTAAACTTCATTCAAAATGTTTACATGAATCACAATATGCATTTCAAGTATTCATGATTTTCTCTCAAAACCTGCTTTCTTGGTTTGAGCATGCCATAGTTATCTTTTTGTATCTACTCGGCTCCCCGGTGTCCATTCTACTAGTATTACAGATTAAGCTTAACTTGAATCGACCCCTAACAATATTTGAAAAAACTTACCCTCTAGATTCTTACAAAGCTTACTTTAAAGTAAATGAACAAATTATATTTTTTAACATAAAAGATCCAATCTATTTTGTTTATTAAAAAAAGGCAACTAAGGTTTTTTTCGCTCAAGAGCAATAAGCTAACGGAAGAATATGAACATTCTTATTGCACAAATTCGAGGATTCTGAATCGTTAAAAGTGTGCTATAAGAAGTGATAGTGATGACTCCTTGTCACGGATGAGTGGAATTCAAAGGTACCCTCGAAAAAGCTTAGTTCATATTCTAGATATACAGAATTCACACCACTTGAAATGATGAATATTCTCACGTCATGAAACTAACATAATGATCCTTCATGAAATTGGAGAACTATGATAACTAAAGATAAGACATAGCAAAGTGAAAGATGATAATATTTTGTCAAAGACAAAATCATTTCATGTGGAAAAATTACAAAAAAATGTTATACTTCTGTACGCTATGGCACATGTTAAAGTGCGGAACATACTTAACTGAGCCATACGAGCCTAACCAATAGATTCTGCTGAAAATTTACAACATGATATAATTGTTTGGAAGCTATAAAACCAGATTAAAACAACTTCATACCCTAGAATCATTAAAACTGAAGACATATTTATGAGGCATTTCTCATCATTTGTGAGGTAAGGTACAAAATACCTAGTTTTTCATGACTTTCGAACAAACAAGATGTTTATATATAATAAGTTTGCTATATTATGGTATATTATGCTCTTATGATTTACCAAGTATAAATGTATATGGTCTGATTCCATTCAATGGTAATTACTTCAAGTTTCAAATCCCTAAGTGTTATCTGCGTTGATTATTAGGAATGAGATCATAGTCAGTACCTTCTCCAAGCCGGAGAAAACTCAACCGCCAACCATAATGATGGGCAAGGTAATGCTTTTCCTGCTTTGTTCTTTATTCTTTATTCTTCAGTGACAACTATCCCTCAGAGATCTGAGTCTGACAGGTCAATCCTGTTTGAGATTGATTGCAACCCTAGACCAGAGTTCTGCTTGTTTGATTGCAAGTGCAGACCAAAAATCTGTTCCAGCGACTGCACTTCATCAGGCTGTAGGTTTGGAAACTGCTTGTCAGATCTAGTTACCTGATGCCAAAACAAAGGAGTAACGAAAAATTTATGTTCACAAGGCTCTTCTTGTTGGTGTAGAGTTCACCCTTGACTCTCCACGATTACTAGTTATGAAGAATGAAAAATTCTATTTTTTCTCCAGTTTTGAAGATATCTTGAATCAGAAACTATTACAGTGACGCAGTCCTGAAAACATGTATGATAGTCTACCATGGTGTGATGATGTAAATGTTACAGACATGGGATATCACTTTCTTTAACATATTATGGAGCAAATTTCTAGAACAATCACTTTAACTCATATATCTTCAAGTGCATACAAGTATACTCTCATGATGATGAATCTTAGTTAGAGTCTAGTTCTATCGTTTCTTCGCTACGAGTCTGGATTGGTATTCCAATCAGTTTTGCTATATTACTTGTTAGTAGGTTGCAATGTAGCATAACAGACATGATGAATGAAGAAGGAACACAGGAGATGATACCTTCCTCACGTTAGGAAGGTGGTGCTGTACGCTGTATCTGCTCTCGGTATAGTCACTTCATTCGCTTTCCTCATACATTGTCCGCCGACAGAGCCCTGATTTCTGAGTAACAATAAATTCCTATATGCCTGATCGGCAAGGCACATACTTCTTTCAAAGACGCCGGTTACCACAGCTAGTCCCAACGCACAACACCTCGCATAACATGAAATTGGCACGCCATTTTCAAGCTTCTTGACGAGAATATCAAAACAATGCAGTAGAAACAGTGGCAGAAGCAACGCCACTTGAACTTCTAAGCTGATTTTCTAAGCCATGTTTCACGTCGGGCCGAAATTGACTGGGACATGACTGGTACATTCACGTAAGAATCTCCTCCATTGTTGAAAACATCCAAGCAACTGTTTCCACGTACCTCTAGAATTTGGTGAGCATTCATTAAGTGCCACCAGCCTTCAGTTTGTTGACACCAGTGCATGAAATCTAGGTGGCTGCGGAGAATGGTTGTGGAACGTTAACAAAGTATCTAGAAACTTCGCTTGACAGAATTTCTACTCGTTTCGACTGATCCTCAAGCGCAAGGCTTTGGTCCATGAAATGTAACTGAAAGAACAGAAACGATTGACACCTCGCAGTCAAAGAGAGGAATGACGCGCCGTGGAAGGTGAAGGAGATCACCAGTGGCAGGCGGTTGCACTTCCCTGCTCTCGCAAGCGTTCTTCACAAATCCTGAGAGATCGAACACAGTTTGGAATCCTTTGATCAGCACTTGTTTCTGGTGGATCCATCGATTGAGTGCCTGCACTGTGAGAGGATTGCATGGAACCACCATTCGTGGCCCCGGAAGTCAGCCCGCGTAACGTCGCGTAGTTCACACAGGGTTGAAATTAGACTGGATGACAGGAACCAGAAGTCAACTTTACCTCCGGTTTCATTTAATGCTAGCATGCGTCTACGCGATCCTCTGACTCATCGAGATGTCAATAGGTGTCATGTTCAATCAATGTCCCAAGCTAGTGACATTGGGAAAAGTTGTCAAATTCGTCTTATTGATGTTTCATTGGGATAATTAATTTCAATATTTTAGGGTGTCGCTCATGCACAACAATCCAAATGTATGCAAACCAGGCCTCAATGGAGTTTCGTGTATTGATATGTTTCTTGGTTTAAAAATATATATTTTTTGATCGAAAATCGAAAATTAATATTAAATAAATTTATCAACCTTTTGTAATAATCAGTAACTTTAAATTGTACAATGAGTATGTGGTGAAATGTGAAATATTTGAAGTGTATAATTAAACTAAACTAATAATAGGATCACTGTTGTGAGTCTAGTGATTTCTCATGTGTTAGATATATATCAAGTGGATGCAATCCTTTAGCATCGTGTCGACAAATTTTTGCTCAATGATGTAAATTTCCTAATGAGAATGTATGCAATGTTTTTTATTGAAATCTCAACTAGTTGTATGATTTGTATCTAATATTTCTTATTTGAAGTTTAAAGCAAAATAATATGTTATATCTTTACTTTGAAGCATTTTGAAACATAGGAATAGAGATTTTATAACTTGGTTTTATACTTATGAAAAAGCTATGATTCTTCAGTTTTTGGATAACATTTACAAATTTTTAAACATATAAAATTTGTGGAACTGGAATTTTTTCTGGAACTTTTCGCTTTATCTGATTACGTTGGTACTGATGTATGTTGAAACAGAATATAGTATTTGAGTGTCAGTATTCGAGAAACTTGAAATTTGATTGTACCTTTGGCCTCGAAATCCATATATCCCTCCAGAGGTATAAAGAAGAACACAAACAAATTCCATAGAGAAGGTCTTATGTACAACTACTTGAGAAGCTTAGTCTATGATAGAAATTGCTACGATAGTACACAAAGAATCTAAGCTTTACTTTCTAGCCTGTTACAGTTAATGCATTAGTATCCTCATTCTAGCCTCGAACTTCCAAGCTTTCCCAAAACAGAGGAAGTGAGAAAGTTGCTAGGCGTAGGATATATAAATGCACGCAATCTGAAAGCAAACATTTCATACATGGTCGGTCACCTATTATGTACTTGGAGCTGGCAAATCAGCGCATCGTGACGTCGACAGTGAACATTAAACGTGAACGCGGCCATCCACAAAATCATCTCCAACGTTCTTGAGTCTTTTGCGAATTTCGAGGCCACATTTATTGACTGCTCCATGTGGAGCCCAGAAATGTAACAAGTGTATTATGAATTAAATTCTGTGCCATAAGGTCTGATGTGCAACTTGGACGGATTGTGTTGACTTTTTTGGCTTTGACATTGTCGGTAGTCCATTCCAACCCGTGTATATTGGACGGGGAGAAGATTGAGTTTGGTCCAAAGACTTTCGGGAACATTTAATCGACCACAGTGATTTAACATGCAAGTGACTAAAAAAGACCGGAGAAAGTGTTGTGCTTTTCTGAGTTATCTACGTAAGCCACGACATGCAAGCCGAAGGGATTATCGGATGCTCTTAGCTTTGATTAACCACTTAAGAACGCATGCCATAGTTTGCAGTTCGAGATCTCAACCATGCTTATTATGAAATTAGTAAAATAAACTCTATATCCCATCGTTATTTCTCATAGAAGTCTGCTTAAATCGATATATGTGTATTGAAATTGATGTGTGTATAATCAAAAAGATACTAGGTTTTGTTTTCTGGCTAAAAGAGGGACAACAGAAGCGAAGAACATGAACATGAAACCTCTTTACTCACATTTTGCATAAAGGAGGACCAGATATAAAGACTTAAAGTCTGTTGTTCCTGTCAACCTTCTTCATTTGTGATGGCCTGAAGATAAACCACAATTACATACCTCCATGAACATAAGTTAACTTGAGTGCGTGCCTGCTCCTTGCAGATCTTTCCACTCCAGGATTCTCTTTCCTCAGTATCTTATTGCAAGATTCCTTTATGTTTGGTCTCAGTCCATTTGACATTCTTGTAGGTAGTTCAAATCATGTGATGTGCCAGCATTCCCTTGCCTTGTCTGTTCTCAAAAACGGCAACCTGAGCCCATTGAGAACGAATGTTGGGTTTCCAGTAGAATCTATGCACTGACAGAGTCTGTACCATACTCCCACTTGCCTGCTGTAGCTGGAACTGCACGCACACTGATGCCTTTTATCACATGCTACTGCTCACTGGTGTAGCAGGATACACGACCATTCTCGTAAGACCCTGTGACGTATCGGTGTTGACGTTCGTCACCTCCGAACTCCTTCCTGGTCATGACTCTTATATCTTACAGGTCCTGGTGGGAGCCGCTCGTCACCCAACAAAGTGGAAGCAGGTCTGTATATTGTCGTTGCTTGTTTAAAAAATTATATATTTTGCTTTAGTTCCGGCGAGAAAGTGAAAGTAACGCAAGGGTAGAATCCTTCCATAGAAACTTATGGGTACGTACGGGTAAATTAGTGTTTACATAACAACATATGAGTGTATAGATATTACGCGCAGCCACTGTCTAGTCAGCTTAATTGCACAGAGTTGCACTCGTAAGAACATATGTTACTCGACCAGAAGTGGAACACTGGTCGATTCGTACTTTAAAAAATTACCAGTAACCACTCTTCTTCCCGGGTATGGACCAAAGCAAAATACTCAACAGCAACACACATGGAGAGAGCTTCGACAAACACTTCTTAATATTCATATATGTCATAGCTTTATATGTATAAGTCGTCAGGACTTGGATGAGCACACCAAGTGAAGGCGGTATCTGCATATCCAGAGAGAAAAGTCATGAATAGTTTCAACATACCATCTCCAAACGTGTTTTGGCACGTGTATTTATCATTGAACCACTCTATGCGCATCACGAGAGCTCGTTGAGTTACTTAGACTTTGTCGCCCGTAAGGCCGTAACCAGCCGAAGGTTGAAGCATACATAGTCAACCTTCAACCCACCAATAGATCAAATGTATTACTTCCTCTATGCAGACGCGAGTACCAGTTCCTTTTGCTATTTTGGGACTTAGTATATCGTGAAGTACCTGAAGTTCCATAACCTTCCATCTGTCAGTTTCATTGGAACTTATCTACGACCGGTTCATTTCTTCGATGCCCATCTCCACGCTCTGTATGGATGATTTGGTTGATATTCGTTGTATTTCTGAATCTATTTCTCCTCGGTGTGGAGAACTATGACTTAAGATTTGAATTCTATATTATTATTCAATCCGAGAAAACGCTTGGGAACAAAAAGGAACCGACTAGTACGAAACTTTTACTTAAACTTATCTCCAATACTAAGTCAACTAAAAATCAGAGAACAATATTCTCAAAAGCTTGTAAGGAAGCGAGAGATGGAAGGGCAAGTACAAAAAGAATAACAAGTATGGAAAGTTTCAATACATGATTGAACTCCAATAAGATTCATAGTTGTTAAAGTAAGTATTTAAGTGAAACCCAATACTAAAATCATATTCACGCCATTGTTATCATATCAAGAATTTTCATATTTGCCATCATATATAGAAAAAAGTAAGAAAGATGCATATGTTGCACATCTAACGAAACCGATGTACGTGACTTCAACCAATCTTCTAACTAACACATGATTGATTCGAAAAATAAGGGTATATAGGAAAGGTTATTGCGAAGCTCGTTGAACACAGTTTTTGCATGTGCCTATATCAGATGAACTTTAGGGACTACAAGAGGGAGGAAACATAGAGAAACTATGGTGTTTGTCATCAGCTATGCTCAACCGTATTTGCCATAGGCTTTTAAGACATCATGACGTCCTTGCCATACTAGCTACTTGCTTTTACTGGCTTTTCCTCCATATCCTACTTATCTATCTTAATATTCCAGCCAAACATCCGGTACACTGCAGCGATACTGGAAATAATTATTTTGACAGTTCGTGACACTTTCCGTTGCCAGGCGGGTATCACTTTATTCAAGACATCGAACAACGCCACCATCGAAGTCGTGTAATGTGAGTTTCATTGAGTTTGTATCCACCACGTTGCTGGCGACCGTGTGGGACATACAAGTCGAATTTTAGAGTGGCCATATGCCAAAGAACAATGTGTTCATGGACACGCAAAGAGGACGCTGAAAATCTCTGGACAGAAACACGAGCTTTTACGAACCGCCGTCTGTAAAATCCCAATCAATCTGGCCTTTTCTCGTGTCGGAAAACAAGCTTAGGTCGGAACAATTGACAGTCTCTGTTTCCTATATGATGTGAGCTTGAAATCCTCAAGCTTCAACACTACGTATGTGCATATTGTCACTTTAAGAATCTGGTCTGATCATAAGAGGTTAAACCTTCAATTATTGCAATGAGCGATACGCTTTCTCTCGGATCGAAGCTTGTGCTTTTCACGCTGCTCCAACATGTTCACGTTTCTCTCCGGTCGCCGCAGTATCAACAGACCAGAACATTTTGCGTTTCATATAACGTGTAACGATCAGCTTGAGCGTACGACCCGTTTGTATATAGATGTGGCCATCACGAGCTCGTAACACAGTCGCTTTATTCTCTACATGCCTGGTCAAATGTCGAATTTGACGCGTGTGCAATGTGTGACAGGGAAATACAGCCAAAAAGAAATGTAGAAGTTTCGTCTCTGCTTCAGCAACTACCGCGTTCCATTGATTACTAGATTCTCTATCTAGTAATCAGAAAGCCTACGCAGATTAGAGAATTTCATCAAATGACCACGTTTTTTTTCTCTGGGACACTTAATATCCGAGTGCACAAACACAAATTGAGATAACGCAATACACTAACAACAAGTACAGTAGTCGAATGCAGGTCTGAAACTAAGTTAGACACGTGCAGGTCCAGAACTATGTAAATCTGCCATCGATTCTTAGGCTCACCGTTTCAGTTCAAGGTTCATCTGGGCCTACCTTCAGAACCACTGGCATAGGTTAGCTGGATCTTACTATACCATATCCATGTAGGAGGAGTTACAATATTTGTGTGAGTGTATTGCATAACAAGATCAGCAGACAAAAGGTAAGATCAGGTTCTGGATACAGACATAGTTCTAGAAGCTCACGCCATATATTAGAATACGGGGAAACTACAAGATCATGCTCTCTTCAATGGTTAATGTAATTAGCCAAGTAATTAGCAGAAAATACGGTAAGAGTTCATCAAATACAGCTACCTGGATAAGACCAAATGGGTAAGGATAGGCCTTTTGCCACTTACATCACATTAAAAATAAGTCCTGGAACATACTACACGTTCAGACTATCTACGTATAAAAGTCCGAAAACTTCAAATGCATATAAAGATAAATGTTTATGTCAGTTGAAAGTTTAAGTTTTGCAAAGACATCTATATGAACAAAATTATTCCATATATTTTTTCATTAGTTTGAAGTTGATATTAAAAATAACATGAGATCTCAATTTCATTTTTCATTTTGAAATCGCTTTTGATAATAAAGTATAAATTATACGATTATACTTATTTTAAGACTCACCTCGTTGCTGCGATTGCTATTATATTTTCAATACTCCAGTAAAATACTTTAAATACTATTCAAAATTTGGAAAAGAATTAGCATATGCATCTACAGGCCTAAATTATAGAAGTAATCAGAAACAAAATTTCTATATGTGCTCGAATGAAGCAACATAAGAAGTTTTAATAGAAAATATATATAACTAAGTTAAAACATTTAAATAAAATCATGTTAGCAACATGAATTTTAATTTTCAATAAAAATAATACATCAAAAAATATAAAGAATCATGAGATGACTTCTAATTGAAAAACGTTCAGATTATCAGTAACTTACATTATTGTTGGTAAATGAGAATAATGTATTAGTATGTATATGATAAATCCAATACTTTTGACTAGTTGAAATCCGTAGCACACAAAAACTGAAAAAACTCATTATTTATTTTGAATGACTTTGTAAACATGAATCTGAGTTCTGAAGAGACCATCACTTGTTTCATTTAATTCTATATAAATATATACACAAATAAATCAAAACTGAAATCATCACTCTAAATTTTGACTGTGAAATTATTGAGCATCAATACATCGAGATAAAATCACATTGTTATCTAGATATATATTATACGTGCCCCCTTTTTTATCAAGTGACTTACTTAAGTTGTACTGATGTTCTACAATGTATTTTTTTTGTTTGGATGCTGATTATGCATTACATTTCTATCTCCTCCAAGAGAATGCCTTAAGATACTTATCAAAGGTTAATTTAGAATGTGGATCCAACTGCGTTCTCTAAACATTCTTACAATGAACCATTAGTAATAAGAAAAACGGCTCTAAAGTTGACACATATTACCAAAAAACCTGAAGATACTATCCTCAACACTATCCCACTTGATCAATTGGCACCTAAATTCATGAATAAGCATAGATGTATTTTTCTCATACTTCCATGACTATTTCTAATTTAGATTTGGAAAGAGTGCCTGCTAGACATATGAAAAAGTCTCTAATCCTCTGATTAGAGATTATAATCAGAGGATTCAACTACATTGGAGGTTGAATCACAATCAATAACACCGATTGTAAATCAAGTTTTGCCATATGTTAATTCAGATGTGGCTGAATCGCAATACTTTGAGATCTTGAGTTACATCGGGAAACATATTAAAGTTGCAGGATGCCTTCATTGTTTGTCTACGTTTGTCTACATTGTGTACATATTATTTAACATATACGTTTTTCAAGATTCATTCATGTTGAACACTCTATAATCAAAATTATCTCAGCAGGAAGCAGAGTAAAGATTCTGCAAATATTTAGTCTTTATATGATCTTATAACATCACTTTCACTTATATTAATCATTTTGTCCACACTAACTTAAAGGTATCACAATTTCATTATTTAGTTATTGTAGTTATGGTTTCGTTGGACACTAAGGCTTAACTGGAATTTTATCTAGATTGGGTTTTATTGCACGTGGATGTTGAGAAACCTTATGGTATTTCATGTGTATCTACCTTTGAAGAGATTAAGAAGGTGGAAAGTATTTATTGAAGACTCATTTCATTTAAAAACTAATTTTAGTATTCACGGTATTTGTGTTATCAATAATTCTTTCATATGAAATTTCACAGTTCTATAGTTAGGCTCTAGTATTCAATGTCACCATTTTACGATTCGGCGCTAGCAATCATACGGACACCTTACGGAAGCAACATTATTGTACTATATTATTTTTAAGTAATTAAATTATTACTTTATTGCCTGACTTGATTCTCTGATTTGGAGTCAAAGTGTCAACATGTACCACAACATCTGATTTGTTCATAATTACTAAACCTATAAATTGCAAACTGTTAAATGAGTTTCGGTGAAAGGCATATGCATTATGTAATAATATTCAAGAATGTTGCAAAGGATGTTCTACATATCTCCGTGAACTTTCTCTGTAAGGGATTAGCATGTACCTCTACGGGTGATTCACATCTGTGGTTTGTATACTCCATGGTCTTATTGTTCGTATAACATCTATCTTCTTGGAACTGTTACTCATTCACGTGCGTTCACAGGAGGATTGGAAACATTTGATAGAAGATCACGAGTATCATACTCCACATTGATCACATGTATTGAAAAGGTCTTCTTAGAGTTGCAATTATCTCCCAACACTAAGAACAGATGTAAGAAAGCCAGCTTTTTAACTGCCGCAAATTGTATTTTACTAGAATGTTTTAGAAACTACCAAGGCGGTAAAGACCAAAAGAGTTCAAAGACTACGGTCGCTTGACTTTGAACCAGAATCCATAGATGGTGCCCTCGAGGTCTCATATGAGACACGAATGAAGTAAGCTCTGAGCGTAAGCAGTTGTCCGAGATTAAGATTCCAAGCAATGGAACTAGAGTCAAGATCGGTACTTGGCTGGCTGGAATGGGCTGAAGATGGAGACGGGGTTCGCCAACAAACAGAACCCGTAACAATCCCCAGATGACGTTATGTACTGACGAGATTAGAGCAAAGCTTCAAGGAAAGCGTAAGTAATGCGACCATAAGTTTGGTCATGTCCTTAGAGTTGGAATCCGATTCCGGTTCGTTTCGAATCAAACCCTTCAACGATGTGTATCAACAAGTCAGCAAAACTTTTAAGCAACATAAAAGTCAGTGACCTATCATTTCTTAGTCCAGCCTACTTCAATCTGGATTCAACTGGTGGAAATTGTCAACTTTATATTACAATTGTAATATCTCAGTTCGGATTTCGATATCATGAATTCACTTACGTTAGTCCCTACTGATTGTCAACTCTCAGACTATGATTTCAAGGAGTTACTTGAACAGTCGCCGCCGTTCTGTTTGTTGTATGCCAAGCACGTGGTTCAAAGCCAATGCCATGTAGACTGTAGTTTCCTGCAGTCCTGTGCAAGCTCTTCAAAGACCAGGAAGACCCAATGATTCTACGCAGCGCCCGGCAAATCAGTTTCATCTTAGTATACTCGGTATTCGTAGATGAATTTCATATATAACCAGCTCTCGTTCTGCATTCTAGTGTGCATCCCACAGGTACGCAGATATGACTCTATAGCCTCCACAGATGTGTGTGGACTCGTACGAGGAGTTCAGATCCCGCCCTGTTGCTGACACGGTCAGAGACTTTGTAAGTACGAGGAGCTAAACTTCGAGGATTTCGTACACTGCCATGTTCTTCTCGTTTGGACACGTCTAGATGTTCTAGTGTTTATAGAATGTGTATTTCAGAGTCTGTTCACGATCTGAATGAAGTTTTTTGAACTTGCCTGAAGATACTGAAGCTTCTGAGAAGGCATGACATGCCGATGAATAGAGATTGTTTCAGATTACATTTCTTTATCTGCTATCTGTGAGGTGTTCTTAGATCCATGCTCACTAGCTTCCCGTGCATACAATCAAAGAGAGGTATACAGGGCGATATGGCTCAAATCATCCTGGCACAGACTGTGGCTGACGATGACAGACTTTCTTCTTGCTCTTGACCATACACAGAATCAGGACGAGGAGCTGAACCCTTGAAATCTAGGCGTTTTCACTCGCTAAGATTCACGAATTCATACATTTTGAGCTCAAAGGAGGCTGGGACAGAGTTGATTCTTCTTCAGAGTCTAAATCAGAAAAACTTGGAAGTAGGAAGTGATTATCAGTCTGAGCTCGGATCGAGGAGTGGGCAGCGATGAAGTCCAAGAGGTTGCTATGCCTGTTCCTGTTCATGTTTGTAGTGTACAGCACCTGGGGATATGTTGAGGCAGCTCCCATCTGCATCACGCTCAATACAATACAGAAGTGCCAAGCTGGTAATTTTTTCGGAGAGATTACTCAATGTTGCCCGCCTGCCGCGTACACCAAGGGTCCAGTTGTGGACTTTATCCCCAAGCGCGATCGTCACCCTGGCCCGCTTCGAGTCAGGAAGGCTTTGCAGTGCTTGAGTGGAGACGAGCTCTCAAGTTACAGTGAGAAACTGTGGAAAGCGTACGAGTTGATGCAAGCGCTACCCCAGGACGATCCTCGGTCTTTCTACCAGCAGAATGCCATGCATTGCGCTTACGGAAGTGGAGCCTTCGTGCAGGATGGCACGGGCAACCTCACCATCGACATCCACTTCAACTGGTACTTCTCGCCATGGCATCGTATGTTCCTGTACTTCCACGAGAGGATTCTGCAATCGCTGCTGGATGACCCGACCTTCACTCTGCATTTCTGGAATTTCGATAACAGCTTTGACGCTGAGAAGGCTAACCGTAACAAGGAAGGCTGCTTCAGAGTGGGACACTTCTTCCCTGAGCTGTACAGCGACCCTTCGAAATCCACGTTCCATGCCAATCGTTCCGTGAGACCCTTCACAGCAAACCTTCCAGCTGACTTGAGCATTCTCAACAGAAGCGAGACTCCGCTGCGTTTCGTGAGCGAGGCGGTGCCGAGAAACAAAGAAGTGATGCACAGATCAATGCAGCCGGGCAAGTCTCCTCTGGATTTTCACGGATGGGAGTTTAAGTACGGGCAGCCTCAGAACCTGAATATTTCCGGGGGAGGCTCTCTGGAGTTCCTTCCTCACAACAGCATCCACAGGTGGATCGGAGGATCCACTTCTTTGACGACCCATGCCCCCGAGGATCCCATCTTCTATGTGTTCCACTCAAATCTGGAGAGATTGTGGGACGTGTGGCAAAGGCTCGGGGGCGGCAGAAAAGACCCGTCCAGTCCAGATTGGTTGGACGCAGAGTTTCTGTTCTACGATGAGAATGCTGTTCTGAGGAGGGTAAAAGTGAAAGACTCGCTGGTCATGAAGGATTTCGGTTACACCTATGAGAGAGTGTTCGATGAAAGCTGGCTCTTCTTCGACAACTCCACCCTCACTCCCGTCAAGCCTTCAAACTAGACAATTGACAGCTCTGACAGCGATTCCAACATGTCAGATGCGCAAGGAATGCCATCAGTGATCACTCGTGCAACATGTAGCGCTTTTCTACCTTATAGCTTTGCCAATCCCTTGAAGGAACCAGTGCACTTCCGCAGTGAAACTGTGAATTGTTTTGTAGATTTTCGAGCCAGGGAGATTACAGCTATTGCTTCAATAACCAGGAACCCTCATTCCTGAATACTCGACTGGAAAATTCCAACATGTACAGCATGGCTGTTGTATTAATTTCATGACCTGGAACGATGAGCATTCCATCGATCCAGATCATGTTTTAACGGGATGACTAATTTTCGCGATGCCCATAATTTTATGTTTTAGACATTTTGATGTGCCTTAATGCCTGTTATCAGCTGCACTGTTTCAGCGCCTCTCAGTATTTGGACGCTTTGGCCATTTGCTTTGGACGATGGCGACGGCAAGTGTGGTTCAAGCTACGGCCTTCGGAAGGCAACCGAATGTGATGAACTAACAGATCACTTTGGAGTACCAAGGGCCAGCCTTGAGCTGAGGTGGGAACTCGCTTTACTCGGACTCCATTATTTCGAAAAGCAGAAGACAAAGCAACATGATTGAACAAAATATCGGGATCCGCATCACCGATGACCACACTTCTCAGCCGTACTTATCAGAGATGAGCCTAATTATCAAATGCGTATTATAATCTTAAACCCCGGTGGAATCCAAAACTATATCTATTGCTTCAGTAAAGCTTCGTGAAGATTTGTTGAATTGAAGGTGCGAAATGCACACTGAGCAAACGGAACTTTTACTCCGGGAAGTTGATTCTTCCTGTCTCAATCAGGTTTTGAGCGTTCCGTATTTTTAAAAGGACACGCTCAAAACTTGGCCACAGAAATTCACTGGGTGAAACTTAGTGCTGAAGTCAATACAAATCATCATAGTCAAAAATCATACGCAAATAATTCCATCCAAGAAGTTGCATCCTCTGTTATGATGGGAAAATCTCATACGTTGATTGGTGCACCAATGTCAGAAACCCTGTAGGCATAAGATTGGTATCAGAATCCAAGTATACAAATATCAAGCTGGTGGAAGCTTGGTATTTGTATATAGCTGTAGCTGGATGTAAAGCATGTCAAACATGTAGCTGGTCAGATGGCAACAACTGTCAGCCCTTAACAAACATGTTGACATTGCCGTAATTGACTGAGATCTACTTTTAATACGTCCGTTGCATCTAGCCTTACCCTGCGATAGCATTCGATACGTTAGGCAAGGGATCTTCTGAAGTTTTTGGGGTTGCGAATGATATGCCTGGTGTCAAGGGGAGATGCAAAGAGAGAGCACGATTGAATGAAGATCTCGAAAAGTTGAGAGCACGATTCACTCAAAGATCTCGGAGACTTGAGAGCACGGTTGAATAAAAGATCTCAGAAAGTTTAGCTCAAACATCCCGGTGTTTCTTTCTCCATCACTACCCATGGACATAATGGTAACAGACATAACATGCCTTGACACACGCGTGCACAAAGGCGATAACTAAGTGGTTCTGGTACAGAGTTTGACCTTCTAGAGATGGCGGGGCATGCTCATCGAACTCTCCAGAAAACAATTCTATTCACGTCGACGCCAATTTGAAGTAGAGAATTTTGTGGAATGTAGCAGAGGGAGAGACTATTCGTCCATCTTGTCGCTAACTAACAGTATTCAATGAAAAACTAAGGGTGGTTGTTAATGATGTTCGGCGTATCTGAGCTGTTATACTGTACTAACGCTATTAAAGCATCCTGAAAATCTTCTCGTTCGGAACGCTTTCTACTCGAAGGTGGATGTTAACATGTCCCAAACGCCCTCCATGTTTGTGCTCGGCGAAGACAGTCGAAGACAAAGCTCGAAGCTCGAGATGAAGAAAGGAAAATCGAACGAAAGGCCAGACACGCAGGAGCAAAAGATTCTCATAGAAATGATTACGACTACAGAGAGATGGCTGGAGAAAAAGTTCGCTCCAATATGAGCACTAAGAGAGAGGGATAGTTGTCGTACGTCGGGTTCAGTGTCTCCGGCGTCAGAGCAGAGAGCGGCTCAAACAACTCAGAGATCTCTGACACACCACTGAACTCTGCGTCTGAGCCTCGCAGCAGAGAGGGGCAGAAACAACTACATGAAAAAAAACGCAAGGACTGCGATATGCATTATAAGTTATTCCAACTACTTGTTGTTGCGCAGTTCAAATTACCTCAAATCTACTGACATCAGACAATAATTCCGTTTCTATTCGGCGTACGGGTGATTACCGATCATCTGTTTCGCAGTATAATGGATATTATACTGCACTCTGGAGCAGCCAGCCTCAGCTTTAACTCTGAGCTTCCCTTTTCAGAACAGGCAACAAAATGCATGAAAATTTCATCAACTTCCAACCATCCAATTTTTTATAGGCCGGTGATGCCTAGAACCATGCCCAGAGTATTTGTACATGAATTCATCGTCAGGGACTTCAGCAGTACGGTGACTTCTTCAATGTACTGCTCAAGTGCCTGAAGATGAGCTTCATGTACAAAAACTCTGTCAGAAAAGAGTAAGAATCCACATGCGATTCGGTTGCTCCCACAATGTGATCTCCATAATGGGAAAAGTCTTTCCAACGTATTCTCAATCGACAACAATTATGCAGTTCTACAATGTTGACATGACGAGCGCGCTTACGAAAGTTTGTACAGTTCAGCGAAATTTTTAGCTGCTTTGCACGTACATTATAAGATTCTGACCCTTGTAGGAGCTCCTACATTGACGACCACATGCGACCACATATAAATTACGTCACTCACTGGCAGCTGCCTATTGCCAGTTGTTACATCTGAAGAAGATTTAAGATCTGAGTGTCAGAAGCCTCGACGGTCGGGACGTGGTATCGTGGATTCTGATGCGTTCCGTTCTACTGATGTCATGGTCCGTTCGAGCTCTGAGAATCTCGTACAACATCTCAGAACGAATATATTAAGAGTTCCAATGTCTTCAGATACTAGGATCTCACTTCTTATACCCATATATATTCTTGACGTAGAGAGCTGCGATTAAACATTGAATTTGAAACTCCATCGCTGGTTCTGGCCAACCCTGTACGACTGAATGGGAATGACTATTGCACCAAGTCAGAAACCGATCGGAGGTCAGAGCAGAGAAGTACTGAAAACATGATTTGAAATACGATGCTGATCAATGCCAGCTACTCGATCGTTGGCTGAGAAGGGGGCACCGAGTGATATAGCAAAAATGATGGGTAAAGCTGCTGTATGTTCCTTTCACGAGAATTCCAAGAGCGTCGAGTCTGACGATCCGTTCTACGAGTCTGACGATCCTTTCTATGAATCGCTGACTACACATTTCATTACCAGTCATTGATCCCGCCTCACAGGATGAAGTCTCTGTGTCACTGGATCACGCGTCTTGTCTTAAGTCGATCCAGCAGTACAACACACACTCGTTGAGAGAGAGAGAACCAGAGAGAGACAGACTGGACTGCATATTTTGCGATTTGAAATTCGAGGGTGCATGCGACTTGGTGGCGTACACTTCTTCTGGATATACTCTCTTCTCCACTCCGAAAGAAAGAAATCATTCAGAGAAGATCCGAGGAGAAAGGCACTTGATTGGAAGAACTTTCTCTAAGCACATGCAAAAGACATATATCCGAGAGGGGAGTCCAGAGAGCAGGAAGGTCGCAGACGTCAACCCAAAAACCATTTGTAGAAAGGTGTAGAAAAGTTAAGTCCAGCAGGTGCTCTTTCCTCGTATAACAAAGAGAATTCAGCTTCTGTGATTTGGAGCTCCTGTAACGCCCACTTCGCTCATAGGACAGAGTCCACTCCATTTAGAAATAGGCATTTTAGAAACCAAAAGATATCGGAGCATCGAGGCTCGCCAGAGTACACGTCGGTTCGTCCTGATCGAGTCTTGGGGATTAACGGTGCCTCCAGGGTATGTAATTATTGCATCTGAACTCTTTAGAAACTCAGGATCATACATCACCGGGCATGGTTACTTTAGGAGGCGACAAAGAGGAACTGAAGTTCCCAATCAAATCGTATGTTCCATCGAGATCAGATTGGATCGAGCTGTAAGACGTCTTAGCAGATTCTCCATGAGATCTCCGAGTCGGCGGTTTGACTCCTGTTACTTCAGCTATATTGCAGATTCTGAAATATTTTCAGCAAGAACCATTTCGACGAATCTGAGCACATGCTTCCATGAGTAAGAAAATGGTTAAGCACAATATCTGCACACTTCAATATGGCAACAGATGTAAGTTATGGCATTTTGTTAGACGTTATTTGAGGAATCCTTGTGACAGATTTCTAAAAAAAATATCAGAAATCTTCTAAGTAGTTGCCAGAATGGCTTTCCTCCCTGCTATGCTCCACGTTTTCAACAGACCTCAGAACGTGCTGATTCACGATTATAATGAGGAAGGAAATGTGCAAATGTGCGTGAAGACTTTGCTTTTCACTACGCTCTGAAACATGAGTATGACGCTTTTTATCTTCCACTCAGAAAATAGTCAAGATCGTAAAGGTTGTTTGACGAAGCCTGCACTCTCAGACGCAAGTTTTAGGTTAGATGTCTGAGATTCGATTTTACACTCCTTCGCAGTCGAATGGTCATGCGCGAACCTGGTGAGACGAGTCTGTATCTCACGGCTATTATAGAGACCCCGGTATGTTCGAAACTCTGATCCATGTAATGGATTGGTTGTTTTGCCTCGCCTCTGGATCTTGGCCCGGACCCGGTCCTCAGAAGAACAGTAGAATGTCGATTGTTCAGAAATTTCCAGAGAACATAACTGTACATGTTCGACTTCAGCGATTGAAGGATCAAGTGCGTGATATGTCTGTAGATCATCTGATATTGAAATATAAGGGAACTATATACAAGGGACACACGTAAACCTTTCAGTTATTATGAGGCAGAGGCTCGGAAACGACCACAAATCGCTCAAAAGCTCAAAAGCTTGCTTGCTCACAAGAGTCTTTATCTCCCCATCTCCGAATAAGTCGTGCGGCCTGATAAACCTTAATTATCGTTCTGCTTAGTAAGGTATAAGCTGCGCTAGTACTCAGTGAAATGAGAAGCGATATTAATTAGAAGTCGAAAAAGGCATACGTGCTTTTGAAAGCAGTTCTGAGCATTTTCATTATTTCTTGCTTTGACGGGTGCAGAGTGTTCAAGCATCTCAGTAGGCGGTGATTAGTCTAAATTGTCCTGGCTGTGAAGATATCTGTGATCGACTTTCTTAGTTACCACAGGTCGGACGGCTGGGAAAGGTTTAATGATTTCCACTGAGAAT